AAGAGTAATATAATATTACTTACTATAATTATCTTACTCTATTAAGGGGTTAGTAGTAATATCTAGGTATATAGTTAAGAAATAATAGAGGCGTTTCTAGCTGAAAAAGCGCGAACGTATAAGCGTAGGAACGCCTACTTAGCTATAACTTTATTAATTAATAAGCTATAATTAAAAGGATAATATAAGGCGACTCTATATACCTTTCTTATCCTTAGATATTAATTCGTATTATATAAGAATACGTGGTTAAGAAATCGTAGAGGTATTTCTAGCTGAAAAAAAGTAAGTATAAAAGTATAAGAACACTTACCTAGCTATAACTTTATTAACTAATAAGCTATAATTAAAAGGATAATATAAGGTAACTCTATATACTTTTCTTATCCTTAGATATTAATTCGTATTATATAAGAATATATAATTAAGAAATTATAAAGGTGTTTCTAACTGAAAAAAGGCAAGGGTCTATATTAAGTAACACCTACTTAGACGTAATTTTATTAATTAATAAGATATTATAAAAAGAATAATAAGAGGTAATCAGGTATATCTTTCTAATCCTTAGAAGATATTTAAGTCTATATATAAAGGTATTATTAGAAAATACTAGGGAGGTTTCCGGTTAGACTATTCTGCTAAGTATAAGTAAGAAATTAATACCTTAGTCTTAGTATATATACTTCACCCTTAAGGAAATTGATATAAGTAAAAATAAATATTTTATTAAATAGATAAATAGATTACCTATTATCTATAGTGTACCTGAAGTTATTTAAATAGTTATATATTAAGTTATAGTAAAGTAACTAAAGAATTAAGGTCGGCTTGAAATTAATTTCTATATAAATCGATACTATTTTCCTTTAGACGCTTTGTAGTAAGAAAACCTACTTAGACCTATGTATTACCTGATTAAGTAGTAGTATAGCGCTAAAGAGTAAGTTGAAGTAAATGAACTAATAAATAGTCTATACGTAGTAAGTAGAGGTAAATAGACTAATAGCGACAATAGGTCTATGCGCACCTAGGCGGGCGGTTTTTAAGTAAGAAGTAGCTGTCTGAGATAAAAGGCGATGGCATGTTAACTGTTCCTGGATTGCGTCCGCTTGGCTAAATAAGGGATCACGCTACAGGATTACTTGTGCTGGATGGATGGACGCGTAGGTACGTGAGAACAAGCAGGATACAGTCCTGCCTGAACTGAACCTTTATTTGGGTTCTACATGTCTTCCTACGTAGACTGACAGACAATTTATTATTTCAATAGGTATCTAGGCCCCAATTCTATTGAATCTGGCATGCCTTGCGAACATTGCACGAGTCATGTGATGATCCGACCAAGATATCTCTGGAGAGGTGAGAGAGTTGTTTTCACATTAGTTGCAGTCAGTGGCTCACAGCTCAAGCCTAAACATTTGAAATGGTGTAAAAGTCTCAGGGCTATCCATGCCATTACATCGTCTTGCAAAATTATTTCATGTGCCCCTTCTCTGTCTTCGCGGTACCCTATGCTTTCAAGCCTTGATCAGCAACGTGCTGCAAAAGCCCATGAGGCGTTCATGCAAAGTGGAGATCTAGGGATCACGTCGTGAGAACGTTGTAGAATTTCAGAAACAAACGGCATTTCTGATGCAGGAATAGCTTATTTTCAGTCGAATTTACGGTTCCGAGGTAGATCCCAGGAGCTCGCAAGCCTCATGAGTCTGCGAGCAACTTGGAAGCTTGTGAGGTTATTCTGCCTTCTTGCTGTCTACCCTAGATTTACGACCGTGATTGATATCTGTCAAGCAAGTTCCGTTTCATGCCATATATCTGCCGTGGAAGTCGGCATCTTGCTCACTTGAAAGGGGCGGGGATTGTGGGTGAGGCGCAAAAGTGTGGAAACATCGTACGATGTGGTTTATTAAGTTTTCGGTATTCTGGAGTGCTACAGTAGTGCATTTCTACCCACAATGAAGAACTCTCTTCCTAGTGTGATTGGTTCAACATGGGAATTCTGGTTCCAAATGCATCACCTCATTCCCATTAACTTTTAAAACTTGAAGCAGATACACAAGCTTCTAGAAGGTTGATTAGCCAAGGATGGGACTTGGACAGCCCTTGTTGTATGCTTTAAGCGAGGGCATTTCCAGGAATGCGAAAATCTGATGATGATGAACTGATGTTCTGATGTTGTCCATCTCCTGTACGAGCAGCAAATTGGTCTGAGAAGGACGGCATTATTGGCTACCCATCGCAGGGGCTGACTCGATGAGCGATAACCGAGATATTGGCAGAGGCAAAACTCATGGAGCCGGGTTGCCGGTCGGTCACCTTCCTCGCCTTTCCTTCTCGGCCATGTGCAAGAACCGGGAAATGTGATGGCCATCGTGGATTCGTACTGTGCATCGATATTCTGATGCCATTCGCGCTGGAGAGCCAGGACGCTATAAATAAGCGAGCCAATGCAATGAACCAGAACAGAATGCTGGCCGCAACAACAGAAACTTGGATGTCAGACCTCGAAGGTTCGTTGTTCATCTTTCCCATGGTTTCGGAAGATATCGTTTACCTACAGTATGGGCATGGGGCATGGGCATTGCTCAGATCCAACCGAGGGAGGGGACGGCCGCGGTGCCGTCACGGATGGGCTGGTTGTGTGCAGGTGGTGTGGTTGTGGTGTTTTTTCGTACCACGGCTATCAAGTAAATTTACCGAGATGTATCTGCCACTACAATGCCCTGCGCGGCATACCACTACTAGCGAGTTTCTTTAGCAGGTAAATTTAGACGTTCAAACAGATTTGCATCGAGATCAGGATGGCGATGCCGAAGCTCAGGAAGGGAAGCCTTTCCGTGCCTGTGAGCAGTTGACTGGAAACCTCATCACTGGCATGTAACTTCCCATGGCTTGGAGCATCTGCTGAGTATGTGCCATCAGTCATTTGTTCAAGGCTTGAGTTACCTGACTATCGTATTCTGGAGAGGGGCAACATTCTCAAGAACATTGCAAAGTCCTTGAGTTGGGTGATGTGAGACAGCTATCATAAACCCTACGCACCTACCTCTCTTGCACCTGAGGAGAGAAACTCCGTTCCTTTGTTGATCAACCATCGACGGTTTACCAGTCCAGGCAATCGGTAAAGGTTGATCTTCAGGTGAAATCGTCGTCACAACCAGTCAAGGTAAATTACAGAAATGGCATTCGATGCTCTTCAATTCAGCCATGGACGGACTCCCAATACTTCGCCCTGACTGGCTCAAGTGGCAGTAGCGGAGGCACCTCCGCCTCCGATAGCATCGTGGGCACGCATCAACGATTGCATTGGAATTCGAGCCCACTTAAATAACGGCTTGGGTACTGGTGGGTACCCGACAGCTTCCTGGCTCTGTCCTGGTGTGGCTAGCCCTCTTTATAGGCCTGGTTTTCTAATTGCCACAGGCAGGCGGGATCGAAATGTGAGTTGTGATCGATACCTACCTCGAACCTCGAACCTCGAACCTCGAACCTCCGGGGCTGCAGCTCTCCTTCCCTCCTGCGTGAGTAGTTAGTGTAGGTCTGCAGCAACACCGTCATCGTCGTTGACGTCCCCGTCCAAGGCACTGGCGCCGCGTTAGAGCAGCCTTCGCCCGCTGGCCTAGCAATAATGCATGGCTCTGGGCGTGGTCAAGCAATATTTGGGTGAACAGAGCAGCTAAATATCTGTCGCAAGCGGACGTAGATCCGGCTCTGATGAGAGGAGAGGAGAGGAGAGGAGCAGCTTGGTCCGTCCCTCCCGTCCCATTTTGCCCTGAACTTGCGTGACTCGCCTTTGTGTTTTGATCAGGCAAGAATGGAATGAATGAATGAATGAATGGCCGCCCTGACCCGGCCTGCTTTGCCCTCTTGTGGTCCTGGCCCTGCCCTGCTTGCCCCTGTTGCAGCGCAGTCCACGCGAATTTCCCCCTCAAGGCACGCTGGATGCAGCCCAGCTCAGGCCAGCCCAGCCCAGCTTGCATTGCTCCTTCGCTCGCCTTCTCTCCCGGTGCGACACTCCCAGTCTCCCACTCCTACTCCCACTCCACCTCTACTCCTCAACCACCTAATCGGATTCCTTAGTGCACGACATCACTCGTCCTCCCTCTTGTCTTGTCTCGTTCTTCTTCTTATACGTACATACAGGCAGCAAATACGGACGCCTTTCGCTTCTTTTTTTGCTTCTATTCTTTGTTTTCTTCCAAGCATCCCTCAACCACTTCGCCAATCCACTCCACTCCACTGCTCTTGACTGGCACTGAACACTCTCACAACCAACCATCTCAACTCAAGGATCTTCAGTCGCAATCCCTGAACCTCTCTCCAAGTCTTGTCACCAATCTCGATCACGCACCACTTGGGTCGATCTTCACCTCAGTTGTCCCAGGCTTTCTCCTCTTATACGACAGGTAATCCTTCTAGCACCATACTCTCTCTCGTCGTGTCTGCGGTAGCCGAATCATAATGGCATTTCCAACTGCCATTTCTCCAGAATATATTTCAATTCTTGAGCTTGCGCTAACGCAAAGAAAGGACACAAACCCACCAGTCTTGGCCCAGTCTATCTTCGAACAACCTCAACTTCACCTTGCAATAGTCACTGGTGAAAGCGGACCTGAAAACCTCAAACCTTGCATGAACGACCGTCTTCTCAAAAACAACACAGACACACGGCATTCAAGACATCTCCTTACGCTACCAACCCTCTGATGCTTCCCGAGACACGAAGGACTTTGTGACCTGTTAACGCGAACTGCACATGTCCCTTTACAACTTCTAACAGTTTTTTTCGCCGCAGACATCGATGTGGCTTTCCACGACACATATTCTCAACCCTTCTCCGAAGGATATCATCCTCGGGACATAACTGGTGGATATCGGTACAAAGGTAGCAGTTGAGGCGAGGGCTCCTGGTTGCTTTGACCCATCATCAGTCTGACCGAAAAACCTAAAGGCTGCTTCAGATGATAAGCCCTGGACGGTTTCCAGACGCAACCAACTGTATGACTGAATTGGCAACCATATTTGCTGAGCTGGGTATCTCTCACTACCTCCACGACTTCATCGAACAGGGATTTGATACTTGGGATACAATTCTCGACATTACAGAGTCGGATTTCGATGCGTTGGGTGTGAAGCTGGGTCATCGGAGGAAGCTACAGCGAAAAATAGCCAATTCGAGAGGCTTGTCTTCTGACAGAGCTCTAGCGTCACCTCGCAATACACCCACTGACGACCGACACGGAGATGACTTAAAGCCTGCGGGTACAAGGGGTGAAAACAAAGATGGAGGAGGTTCGGTTCCCGGCGCAAAGCGCAAGTATAGACGACACCCAAAACCCGATGAGAATGCCCCGGAACGGCCACCATCTGCCTATGTGATATTTTCAAACAAAATGCGTGAGGATCTTAAGGGGAGGAATCTATCGTTCACGGAAATTGCCAAGCTGGTTGGTGAAAATTGGCAGAATCTTTCACCTGGTGAGAAAGATCCCTATGAGCAGCAAGCCTTTTCTGCGAAAGAGCGGTATAACAACGAGCTCGCGGAATATAAAAAGACGGAACAGTACGCTGAATACTCGCAATATCTGTTGGAATTCAAGGCTAGGCATTCAAATCCTCAGCAAAGTACGTCGTGCTCCACTTCCTAGCTATGCTCATGAATTGCCCACTGACTCTCGCCAGCGAGCGATGCAGATGTATCCAAACGACCGAAGCTAGAAGCTCATGTCAGCACAACGAGTAGTGGAACTGCGAGCAGTAGCACCAGTCAACAAGAGCCTGTGCCTAGCCGTGCCCGCATTGAACAACCTGTTTCAAGTTCTAGTCAGTGGCAGCCAGCTGAAGCCCAGTCATCACCAAAGCTATCAACTACGCCGAAATTAAATTTGGCATCGGGATCACAGGCGCCTCAGGTCTCGGCTACTTCTCCCACAGTCCTGCCAGGCTATCGCGATTCGATTTACCCTTCTCTTCCATGGAGAGACGCACAACGTGACGAGATTGCTGGTCGTTATCAACAACTTCCTCGTATTGCGAGTGTCAAGGATAGACAATCTAGTTTCTCAGGAGCTTCTCACCCAGAATCTCTGAACCTCACTGGTTCACAACAGCATGCTCACCGGACAGGCCATACTCATCCACCGCCGCTCCTGACTTCAGAATCAACCAATCGATCAACGGCGTCCTCCGGCAGTACAGTATCATCTGTGTACTACTCCCCTCGGACACCGATGGAGCCGCCAATGGAGAGAGCCCTGCCAATCCCAGCCATGTACACGCAGAAGTCCTATGAAAATCAATTACCGCCTATCAGACCCCCATCTCTATCTCCCCAGTCTACGCTGTCTGGCCATCCACAGCAGTCTCCAAATGGTAAGAAGCGTTCAACCTCTTGTCAAGTCCAATGTTAACATTCAAAAGCTCATCCCAAATCGGGAGAGTACGCACACCCTATACCCCCAATCCGCGGTTACGGCTCAATCGTATCGCACCACTCTATCTCGAATGATCATCCCGATTATCGAAACAGAGACTTCATGAATTCTACTTCATCAGCAGATGACTCGATCCTAGACCCTGTCAGTGCTCTACTGAGGGCAGGAGAAATCGTCAATCAAAATAGCAGGGGCCGTTCAGATTCGTAGCAGCTGTACCGCCAGCCGCAAATGCATTATTCACTTCTTCCTATATACTTGCCCATGTCAGTGATGGGCTACTATGCCCACGAAGCTTTTGCATCGGTAGGCTTGTTAGGCGCTGGGTTTGGATCTGGTTTGGAGTTCTGGTGAATAGTGATGGCAGGGTGAGATATTCCCCAGCTCGATTTCTCGGAGCAAAGCCCATTTGGCCAGTGCAGTTATGCTGAGATGTACTTATTAAATGAAGAAATGATCAACCTACAGACAAGATAGTCTCAAACATCGGGGAGAATATATCATAAACAGTGATATTTATTCTGAACATATGCTTTCGTATCACATCAAGTTGAACTGATCATCGAGCGTAGAAATTGAGACTGAGAAGGATTGGGGTTATCTCCTCGGCCCTGGTTATCAAGTCGTTGATCACGCAGATCTCCGGGTGGCGCTGTGGGGTTCGTCGATAAACTACTTGCGAAGCTACGCCCAAAACAGGCGCGGGGTGCTTAATATTGCCGGTCCCCACCGCCCAGAATATTTTGTTTCCTTGCCCATCCATTATACTCATTCATACTCCTAAAAATCAAGGTAATTTACTGCTTTTAATGATTGCTAGAATACGCTCAATCGGTCAGAAATCTTGCTCTCCGATTTTACTTTCGCATCAGCAACTTGGTCCGAAAACATGGCACAGCATGGCTTGCAAGCAATCAAATACTCGAGGGGCAAATTGGAGGTCTTGGACCAATTGAAGCTTCCACATGAGTTTGTTTACGACCAAGTTTCGACCTGTGAGGAGGCTTTTGATTGCATCAAGGCGATGCGCGTGAGAGGTACATCTTAGGACCTGCTCTGTGGAGGTGTTTGTTGAGATGAGGTTTCGATAGCTAAGGTGTGAACAGGAGCCCCTGCCATAGCTATCGTCGCTGCACTCGCATTAGCAGTCGAGTTGGAGGCCAAGAAGGATGGTTAGTTGTCTCACTTTTATTCTCTTCCTAAGACATGATATGATGTGAAAACACAGCTAAGACCTCTAAGGTGCTAATTCAAAAGATGATCTCCTAAAATTCATCAGCTCTCGTCTGGATTATCTCATGGGTAGTCGCCCTACCGCCGTCGACCTGTCGAACGCCATCAAGCTCCTCAAGAAACAAAGCTCCGAAGCTGCCTCCAACACTACTACGTCAGATTCAACGACAGCATGTGCAAACATTAGACAAGCGTGCATCGATACCGCAGAGAAGATATTGGATGATGATCTAGCCACCAACCGCAAGATTGGCAGATATGGAGCCGAGTACCTACGTAGACAGCAGATGCCGATATTGACACCTGTTGATGAGAACGATGAGCTGAGATATTATACTACCAGTCCGCCGGGTACGCAGGGAGCACCGGACAGAACGTACAGGAAGATTAGCGTTTTGACGCATTGCAACACTGGGTACGTCTAAACACATTCTCTTCATCTCCTTTGAGCAGCAGTTAGAGTGGCGGGTCACAGAATTTCTTACTGATTTTCCATCACAGCTCACTTGCTACCTCTGGTCACGGCACAGCTCTAGGTATAATTCGAAGTCTACACAATATGAACTATCTCGACCATGCCTTTTGCACTGAGACCCGACCATACAACCAAGGATCTCGCCTCACAGCTTTCGAGCTTGTCTACGAAAAAATACCTTCAACGCTTATAACAGACTCCATGGCAGGTGCACTCTTCGCTCGCAAGAAGACGGAGAAGAATATCATGGCTGTCATTGTAGGCGCCGAGTACGTATATCCCAGTCTTTTCTTGTCTCCAACAATTCTCCCTCCCCAATGTGTCTCTCAGAGCTCTTACTTCTCAGCTTATGAACGAAAGCTAACACCATGCAGCCGCGTTGCGCGTAATGGTGACACTGCGAACAAGATTGGCACCTATAGTCTAGCAGTCCTAGCCAAGTACCACGGCATCAAATTCATCGTAGCAGCACCAACCACAAGCATTGATCTCGAGACAGAGACAGGGGCCAGTATCAGGATCGAAGACCGTGCCGGCACAGAACTCACGCAGATCACAGGCGCCGTGGTCGACAAGGATGGCAAGGTCGATGTCAGCAAGACGGCGAGAGTAGCGATTGCGGACCAGAGAGTGGACGTCTGGAATCCCAGTTTTGACGTTACGCCGCATGAGCTGATTGATGCTATTATTACGGAAGAGGGCGAAGTGCTGAGAAATTCAAAGGGGAAGTTTAGTTTCGAGAGTATCATGCCTGAGAGGTGGGCGGCGCAGGTGGTGAAGGGTGGTGACAGGGCTGTGGGGGCCGGCGAGAGTGTGGGAAGAGTGAGGAAGCAGAGCGGCGATATGCAGTTCCCTATGGATGATTGAGTGATCGTTGGATAGTTCTTTGGTTGCCAGGGATGTGTAGGATGGGATAGGACGGCGAAGAATCGAAGACTCTCTTGTCATTATGATTATTCCGTTTGCAGGTGGTGCTCTTCTACCTGCCTACATTTGATGAAGATAGACAAGCAGGCATAATTGTTGCAGACAAGATTAAATTAGAAAATGCCTAAATGCCTCGAAGCCTCCATAAATTACCTGCAGTCATCCATATAATTTGGAATTGGCTCTAAAAGATGCGACACGAAGAGAAGTAAATTCCATCTACTGTCGGGGAAAGACTAGGGGAAAAAAGAAATTCAATTAGGCCTTGAAGTGATTGAGGTTGCAGCCTAGTCAAAAACCGACTATCGAAAGTGAGTAGCTGGAGGGCAAGCGAGCACTGTGATGTTGATATTCGAGAAAAGGGGCTCGCTTGAGCATGTCAGCAAAGGTAGCGAGGACATATGAGTTGCCCAACTAGTCTTGAATCTGGTCACTGCACCACTCACATTACCCTATTCACAATAGCAGAAGAAAGCTTGGAAGTATCTTGGGAGTTTTGTTTTCAATATTTTGGTGCGCCTAAAGTACAGATGTCCCAGGAATGCGAAAAGACTCCCCATCCCTCAAATTTTGACAGGAACATCGGCTAAAAAGACGGAAATGCAAATGTACCTTGAAAAAGAGTTGTCTCCAGATGCCTACTGTAACACATCCTCCCGACCATAAAACCAGGTTTGCTTTGTCTAATTATCAATCTAGCGCCTCTAATCTATGAGGTGCTTCGGGTCGAACGCTTCTCAGCCTTGGCCTGCTCAACACCAGACGCGGCAGCCTCAGCGACCTTGGTCTTAGCGTCAACAGCTGCGGCCTTGGTCTTCTCAACTGCCTTCTTGACTTGTGGTGGTGCAGATGATCCACCCAAGCCAACGATACCGACGATTAAGGCGATGAAAGTAACGAGAACAGCGGCAAGACCACCAGCAGCCTCAGGAACGAACTTGATAGCTTGGATGGGGTCGTTCTGGGCAATGGTGAAGAAAAGGTCAAGCTTCTCCTTAATGTAGTGGATTGGGTCCTCGGTGAAGACGAGGTCAGATGGGGAGCGAGGTGGCTTGGTCTCGTCAACCTTTGGCTTCTCGGCGATCTCAATCAATTGCTCGATAGGGTGCTTCTCGTTGAAGGTCTCATCAGCGAACTTCTCGGCACTGGATATCATGTTAGCACATATCTAAGATCGGAATAGGACAGGAGCCACTTACTCAGCAACGGAGTGACCAATGTAGATGTTGTCGAACAAAATATCATTTTGCATGGTCCAGATCTCGAAACCGATAGCTCCCATGGGCTCCAAGTTCGCTGGGTGCTTGTCCTCGAAGTAGTCTGGGTTCTTGATCTTGCGAGGAGCCCAGACGCCCTTGTAGGCTGGGTTATCTATGTACGGTGCGCTTTTAAGAATTAGAATAGTACATTGAATTAGGATTTGGAGATACTCACGTCCACTTGCCCTTGTACTCGGGGTTCTTGATCGTTGGCTTCTCCCATGGTCCACATCCGGAGACTTCGTCGCACTTGGGATTGCTGACAGTCGGGGCGCTGCTCATGATTAGTAAAGGCCGTAAGGACTTCCGTGCGTAGGGATTTCTTACATCCAGTCTCCATCCTCCTCATCATCCCAATCCTCTGGCTTGACGGCCTCTGGGTCAGGAATAGAGAGAGGCTCATCCTCGAGCCAATCCTCTGGTTTGGTGGCAGCCTCATCAACAATCTCGAATGGCGCATCCTCGTCCCAATCCTCAGGCTTAGTAGCCTCTGGGTCGGGGATTCTGGCCTCATCAACCCAGGTGTCTGGCTTGGTGTCCTTTGCGTCATCGATCTCCTTGGGTGGGTTGAAAGCTGGCTGGAAGTCCTCAAGAAGGTTGGCTTCCTTGACTTGCTCACCATTCAACTTAATGATGGCGGTGTTGTTAGGGTGGATGATCAAGGTGTAGAGCTCGGTGGTCTTAACGATACGGGCAGCTGGGGCAGTTGCCAAGTGCTTCTCCTCATATTCGCCAGTTTTTGGGTTCTTGTGGTTTATGATCAAGTGGACCTTGTTGGTGGAGCCGCACTTGTCTGGACCGAACATAACAACGTATGGGGAGACGTTGGAGAATTCTTCCTGGTGGAGAGCCTTGTTGTCACGGAGGAGCTTGAGGTAAGCGCCACCACATTCGAGGCCATCTACAAAGCGGTTAGTATGACTTTCGAGGAAGATATTGGCAGTCGCTTAATTCGAAGATTTAGAGATGTGTTCTTACTTTGGAGTTTGACCTCATATTGGACGACCAGGGTCTTGCCCTTGTTATCGATCTTCTTAGGGAACTTGGCAGAAATGGCATGATGGGCAGCTGCGTTCTTTACGACCAGACCCTTATCACCCTCCATTCCCTTGTAAACGTGTGGCTCTTCGACAGCCCATTCACCGACGTATGCCCACTCCTCGTCTTTGTCGGACCCTTTGGTATCCTTCTTGGCGTGCGATGGCTTCCATCGTGCCTCCCAATCGTCTGTGAACTGCTCAACAAAGTCGCCCTTAATCTTGGTAGGCTATTCGTGGATACGTTAGCACTCAGTTGCAGGCCAGCCCGAAACTCTTGGGCAGGGATATAGCTCGAAGGGCTTACAGTAAAGGTTGGCAGCTCTGGGAGCTCGGTGGCAGAGGTAGCTGCAGACGAAGCATCGCTGGCAACACTGGCGACAGAGGAGCTGGCCTCGCTCAGGACAGATTGAGCATCGGCATTGACGCTTCCTGTCAGGAGAGCAGCGGCCGAGATGGCTGCAGTTGCTGAGAAACGCATAGTGACGACAGCAGATCGGACCGATCAATCAAATTGCAATTGACAGAAAGATGGAACAATGGAGTAGTCGACTGTAATAGAAGACTGAGGGTGGTGTGTTGCTTCCAGAGCTCTTTCGGAATGGGGAGGAAGAGGGAGAGGAAGAGAAGATTTAATTGTGGGAGGCTGAGGAGTTGCTTAATACTCGCTGGTTCGGCTGAGGAGGAGGTTGCCAGGTGGCCTTAAGTAAATCTGGGGCAGGGCAGGTGCCGGGGCACCGCGGTGCGCTGCTGGCTGTAGCTTAGTGCGGATAGGACAGGGCAGGGCTGGGCTGGGCTGGCTGGCTAGGTAGGTGAGCGTTCGGCTGCCGCTCTCTCTGCCTCATCCTCATCGATGACAGGCACCGGGTATTGTTCTACAGTATCGAGAAGCAATAATGTCGTACAGGGTGAATTTGGAAACGTGTCACGGCCTGCGGTTACTCTACAGTAGAGTAGATAGAGTAGAAGCCGAAGACCTTGCATTACTGTACAGCATTGACTTTATCATCTACTGTAAATTGCCTGAAGTTTGTTTGCCCTGCGCTTTCCCCGAACGTTCGAGTTCAGTGCAGACTACAGTACTGTACAAGAGAGGGGACAGGGAAAGGAGGGGGAAGCACAGAGCCGCTGAGCAGATCTGGCATACTCTGACCAATGGATGAGCTCCCTTTGATCGCAAAGTCCGGTGGATGACAAGCATCAGCTTCACCCGAAAACGGGATCCTTGACACGCAATTGTAAATTTACACAAGCAGATGAGCACAATACCGAATGTCGTGGTGTCGTGATTTTGTGTCAAAGCCACTTGGAAACAAGCGATGCTCTTTACTGAAATGTCCTGCTGCTGAGGGCCATGGATATTATTCATGGCTCTGAATAACGGGTTGCATATCTATTGCTACATTTTAAAATCTCCCAAGACATCCAGCTTTCATTAGGTTTCCCGTGTTGTAACTTACTGGTCACGTAATTTCGCTTTCGATGCAAACAGCACTCACTGACTTGGATTCTCAGGACTAGAATATTCCATAGCTCCTCCTCCTCCTTGCTCTTGCTCCCTGTCTCCCTCTTCCAACTTATCACCTCAGCTTCACCGCCTTCACTTACCCCACAGTCGTCCTTGCGCAATCAGCCTCGACCTGTGGGTACATCTTGTGGAGTGTTCTGTCCTGCCCGTTCTTGTGCCTGTGGCACCTCCAATTCTGTGTGTGCAGGTAGAGGAGTAAGTTCATGGATGAATAAGCAATCTTCATCAAAGACGACCATCAATTTCAAATAACACAATGTCCAAAATGCAAGCCCTGTGGATCATGTTTTACCTCTGTCCCTTAGGTAGTGAGGTAGTTCACTTACTATCTCTGTCCACGTTTTGAAGTGGTTGGGTGGCTTTCACTAGCGCTGCAGGCCGAGGACCCCGCGCCCTGAAGTTTTTGAACCCCTCCACCACTCTATCTTCACTCGTCAATACTAGCAATATCAAAGCCAACAAATACGGAAGACCTACCTACCCACCTGCACTGATTTACATGTTCTGGATAACAATTCCTTCCGCCAGATTTCCTCAACATTGACCTTTTATCCCGTTCGCTGCAAGATGGCTCCCTCTATAGATACTGCTCCAGCGGCTACAGACAACAATGACCACCTTATCAAATCCAGCGACCCCAAACACCCAGCGAATCTCATTCCAGAGTTATGCAAGAAATTCTGGGGGTTAGGCTGGGTAACAGGAACCGGTTTGAGTCTCTCGCAACCCTACTCGCACAAGACTAACAAGCACTCAGGGGGAGGAGCAAGCATTCGCGACGAGTATGTCTAATATCTGGAAGACAAACAAGAAACAAGAAGAACAACCACTTACTCTTATGTCTCAGGGACCTAGTCTACCTCGCACCATCAGGCGTCCAGAAGGAGATGATGAAACCAGAAGACATCTACGTACTCGAAATGTCCAAGCAGCTCGATCCCAAGAAACGCATATACCTCCGCTCCCCACCAACATTCAAGCCCTCCCAATGCACGCCTCTCTTCATGGCCGCCTTCACAAAACGTGGCGCAAGATGTTGTATCCATTCACACTCCCAATGGGCCGTCCTCGTCACCCTCCTACTCGAAGCCTCGCCAACCAACTCCAAAATCTTCGAAATAAACAATATCGAGCAGATCAAAGCATTTGGTCGCGGGTACCAGAAGCAGGGAAACTTGGGATATCATGATACGTTGCGGATCCCGGTAATTGAGAATACACCATTCGAGGAGGATCTGACGGAGTATCTGGAGAAGGCTATGGATAAATACCCTGACACTTATGCTGTGCTTGTTAGGCGGCATGGAGTTTATGTTTGGGGCGATACAGTTGATAAAGCGAAGGCGCAGGCTGAGAGGTAAGACTACCTAAGTATCTGGTCTTGCTTGTGCTGACAGGGATGTAGCTTGGATTATCTCTTTCAGTTGGCAGTAGAGATGAAGAAGTTGGGTATGCCATGGCTGAGCAACATTGCCTGAACTGGCTCGTTGATCTAGAAACTTGGTATACAAATTTTTGTATGGCCTGAGATTTGGAAAGTGCTCGAAGGCGAGTAACAATGCCCTTCCCGCCGGGTCAGCCTGAGCGAGCCGTCTCTATCATCAGGTGGTGTATACGAAGAGATTTATTGAGGGAGGTCCAGCTACAACGAGCAACAAAACGCCAAAATTTAGTCTCTCACTGGACACAAGGACCAAAATAGCTATGATACCCAACTTTCGATGACATTCACAGATAAAGCAGAAAACTATCTGACATGAATTATGTCAACGACCAAAGGTGATTTCAAAATGAATTTACTAGGAGTTTCTTTAGGCAGAGCCAATGTGCAGGCAAGAGGGGCAAGGCCACAGACACTACATCATCCGTCCTCCTCAGATCCACCAACTCGAATCTCGCTTAGCCTTTTTACATGGAAAACAAAACATGCCGAGTCAGCCAGTTTTCACGACATTGTATCAAGAAGATTCCGTTGGACCGATCAGTCGGAGTTCCAAATCTACCAATCGACGGTTAGATGCGATGAACTTGTTTCTTTTGAACCCGATATGTAATGGCCTGATGAGTAAGTAAATAAACTCCGCAAGCGACCTCCCTTTTCTGCGGCTCAGCCAACTCGGACGGGGGAAATTCTTACGTGACCGACAAGAAACCGTTCCTCGAACAGTTGAAATGCATAATAGGACTACTGCAGTACGAAAATCTCTACACGTCCATAGCTGGCTTTATTGTGAAATATAGGTAGGTGTACTTTTATACTTATTACTTTTCAAAAGTGCTATATCTTAATATAAGTGATCGTCGCAATATATACACATCACAGACAACTCCAGAGGTCGAAACCATCGTCCTGCACTCCCAGAAAAGAACATATGTGTGCCTGCCTCCTGAACTCCAACGCTATGCTCCCAAATTATAGTAAATTATACATGTATCCATCACTCGCTCATTCATTCGTCACTATCTGACTCTACTACAGCTCTCTGTTTTTGCTTCCGCTGCGGTTGAACAGGGCCGAGGTCCTCCTCATCATCATCTTCATTTTCTCCCGAATCAGAATCAAGATCGATAGGCGGCTTCGAAACCCGCTTCAGCTTCTTTTCAATCAAAGTCTGTACATCTGGCATCTCGTCGTCGGAGCTCAGTTCAATGGTTGACTGGGTGGGGACAAAGAATGGCTTTTCTGCAGGTCCAGTATTGGGAGGGGGTGTCGTCGACGATCCAACCATCCTGGATTTTCTGGGACTTGATCCATCCGCTAGGAAATCCTTTAAACTGCCGAGATCCGAGTCTTCGTCTTCTGAGGGTTCCTCGCTATTTATTTCATCTCCTTGCCCTTCGCTGTCATCACCTGATATTGATCCATACGGAGCTCGACGACGAGTTGAGGATTCAAGGTCGGTTTCATCGCCTTCACTTTCAATGTCCGAGATGACGTGTGACTGTTCCGGCTTCTGTTTCGCTGGTGCTTTCTTCCTTGCCAGTGCAGCTCCGCTCTTAGCTGGTGCCTTCGTCTTTCCCGCTGTTTTGGCGACTTTTAACTCATCTTCAACCAAATACCGAGGGTCCCAGAAGCTACGTGAGGGTTCTGTATCACCGTATGGGCTCGCGTATCGATCTTCGATCTTCTGCGAGTTCGCCAGGATACTGAACAGCTCGACACATCTTCTTGTTCGCTGTGAGTGCGGTACATGGATTGCAGGGCCGAGAGACCGCTGAGCAATAGGATGCAAAGTCATGCTTGGGGCGCTGACTTCTTGACATTCATCGTCACCTACGTTTATGAACTTGTCCATGAAGAGTCGCTCCTCAGCTGGCGTAAGGAAGACCGACTTGGGCGAGAGGATTGGAGCCAGGTCGTCTTGCTGTGTTTTAGGCGCAGCTTTGTGCTTGACGCTAACTCCAAGATCTGTCCGAGCTCGACCTCCGCCATCCAGATTTGATGCTTTGCGGAAACCAGTCTCTACTCCATCAGGCATATGAAACTTCTTAGCAGGCATTTTCTTTCCTCTTCTTGTTTGTCGTTTTGGTTCAGGCAATGCTGGATTCTGTGTGTTCTCGATGGGGATATCGATGAGTCTCTTATCAACTACAGGCGTGATATCTCGTGGCAATATCCGAACGGAAAGATCGTGCCGGAAGTTGAAGCGAGCGCCGGAGCTGATCATCTTTTGCATTTGCTCGTAGTTGTCCTTTGCGGAGACGAAAGCTTGTTCCTCCTTACCCTTCATTAACAGTAACACGATGTGTCCTGCCCTCTTTCTTCCCGTTCGTCCCATACGCTGCAGCATACGGATTGGGGAAGCCGATGCATCGTAACATACAATGAGATCAACCTGACCAATGTCCAATCCTTCTTCGCCGATCGAAGTGGCAACCAAGACATTCATCTTTCCTGCCTTGAATCTGTTTATGGCCTCTTGTTGCTTGATCTGGTTCATTCCCTCTGATCGCTTCGAGTCTGCTTGTCCAACGAAGACCGAGGCCCTAATCATGGGGCCGTGCCTGTTCAACACTCGAACGATGTCCTCGGCGCTGTCTCTGTATTCCGCGAATACAATTACCCTGGTGCTTGAAGGAGGGGCATCGTCGCCCAGTCTCCCTGCGCCTGCATCCAAGAAATGATTGAGAACAGACTCACAGAGGCAAGTGAGTTTAGGATGGCCAACAAAGTCATCCTTACTTAGCCATAGCTGAATTCGTTCCATCATCTTCTTGAAGTCCGGGCTTTCAGTAATCTGACTCTTGTACTTCGACGGTTTTGATTTTTCTTCCACGCCTGTTCGGAACTCCTTGATTGCTTGGTAGAATGGGCCTATGCCATGGAAGTTCAGAAGCTTAATGCTATGGGCGATGCTTCCCAGAACAGCGAACAAGGCATTCATCATGCCCTTGAGCCCCATGTTGGCAGTGCGACCTGTATCTGCCATCCACTTCTTACGTGCTTGCAACATGCCGAACGGCGTCAACGACATCGGATCTTTCGAATAGAATGCATTTTGTGAGCATAGTATATTTACCAGAGGCTGGAGAGCCTTCGAGAATAAATCCTTAATCATGATCATCTCGTCTGACGGTTCCAGTACAATCTGATCGATGTTTCTCTGGTGCACATACTGCTGAATATCGATTGAGTCCTCAGTCCGAATCTCAACTTTGGAAATTTCGAGGTTGTCGATGACCTCCTGTACAGCCTCGACGCTTGCTCCGGGAGTTGCAGTCAAGGCGAGAACCCGAAAACTTTTATTAAACCGGCGCAGGAAAGACACCACGGTGCAGTAAGCGTAGTTTCCTGTTGCTCGATGAGCTTCATCGACGACGAGAAGAGCAATCCTCTTGGGATCGGCTATGCCAGTCGCCAGGTCATTTTGGAGTGTTTGCGGAGTCATGAAAAAGACTCGCTTGCACTCCCACTCCTCAGCTCGTAAGGGGGGCGGTTGATCTCCTGTGAGCATAGTTGTCTGAGATCTGGGAATGCCTACAATGTTGAAGCAAGCATCTACCTGTTGGGCCACCAGAGGTTTCGTAGGCGCAACGAAAACAATTTGAGCATCTTTAGTCCAACGAAAGAAATTGAGCATGATAGTGGCGGCAATGAATGTCTTTCCCAGACCAGTGGGGAGCGCAACCAAGAGATTATTAAACAGTCCATGCTTGACAATACTGTACTGGTAGTCTCGAATGGTGCCCAAATTCGTTGGATAGACCCATGTCTGCAAAGCTTCCTGATCCAATTTGTGGTGCGTAGGAGCCTCCGGCGGTTTATCAGCTATGAAGTTATAAACCTTCTTGGCTTGAGAAGCAGAGACCTCGTCCGGAGCACGGCCACCAAATAACGTGGTTTGACGGAGTCCTTGCTGTGGTGCGATGAGACGCTGGCTGCGAAAAGAACCTCCTTGACTACAACGAACAGGAGAAGAGCCTATCGTAATTGGCTTCCTTGAAGTCACATCGTTGTCTGGGGAAGAGAAAGCGTCTGAAGGCAGGTCTTCTAACTCTCGACTGTAGTCATGCCCCTGTGAAGGAGCACTATTCCTCTTCTGAAAAAAGTCCGCTACTGGAGGGACCGGCCGTCGCGGGGTCGCAGAGAAAGTCGGCGGTCTGGTGGGTGGCTCTGGTCTGGATATCTTATAGATTGGTCCTCGCTCCCTCCAAGGACTTGAATCTGGAAGCGCTTCTGCCTGCGTTGCGCCAATAATCTTCGCAGCAGGGACATCCTTTTCAGCAATGTGTATCCTGTATTTCGGTCTCTTGTTGTTGTTGTTGCCTCCTTCTCCTTCATTGCCAGAATAGTCACTTTCGATGGAGTCGTTGGATACTCGGCGCCGCTTCGCGGGCCTGGGCGAGCGAAATGTTGGCAGAGTTTGAGATGGTTGACTGAAGGATTCGGCTTCCATCAAATCTTCATCGGCTATGTCGCCATAATCGTCTTCATCATCATCCATGCTGAGTGTGGTTGCTCAGTGATGAAGCTCATGATGTGAGGTTAGATGTGAAGTCGCGCTCCTTCCACGCGCAACGCGAAACCTTATCGCGTGTCACGTGATAGATACAGCTCCTAAAGTGCTCCTTCCGTACCACCACTTGCCGTCAATCTATGCTTGCAAAAAGCCGGATTCAATTAAAAGGTTCATGCAAGCCCATGATAAGTTCTGCCGAATCTCTGTCGATTCTTAGAATTGGCTTGTAAGAACAGTTCCGGGGTACCGGGTCGCGCTACTCAATCCTAAATATTCCTCGACCATCATCCGTATCTCAGAATCCTCGACAACCTCAACATCAATGACCGCAAGGTTCATCAGCCATCTTAAGCTCAAGCGAGTATAAGAAATCTTAACTCTCAGCTCCTTTGTCGTGGTATCTGTCCTTCAGGCTCAAAAATCTAGCTGCACGGCTCTGCCGGAGCTAAGAAATGAGGGGCACTCTGCATGTATTGCACCATTTCATCTTATCCACTTTTGTCGACTGTAGATCCTCGATCTCTTGACGGTTGGTGTGTGAGCTGCGTTGCTTTTCTATCCATCGTTTGACTGTCTCCAGCGCTTTCACATACCATCACATGTCATAATCTATTTTCATTTCCTTGTCCCATGAATAGCTGTAGCATTAGATATTGAAGCCATGGCTCCTATAAAATCCGTAGCAGTTATTGGAGCCGGTCCAGCTGGGGCAATAGCCGTTGATGCTTTGGCGCAAGAGAAGGTATTTGACAGAATAAGAGTTTTTGAGCGGAGAGAGAAAGCCGGAGGATGTTGGTCAGTTCCCATTCATCCAATTATAATTCCATACTTTCTAGTAAAATCCTTCTAAACCACAACACAGGATTGCCGATCCAGAAGACCACATCCAGCAATATCCAGACTTCGACAAGATAGCATCACGTACTGCGGATGAGACTCTCCCCATCCCCTCCAAACTTCCAACCAAAACACCTCACAGCACGCAGTACCGTTTCTCCGAGACTTCAATCTATCCAACCCTGGAGACAAATATAGATGCATTTGCCATGTCATTTTCTCAAGAGCCATTCCCGGAAGAGAGATCAGAATTAAATGTCAAGAGACATGGAGAAGATTCCCCGTTTCGGCATTGGACAGCTGTGGAGGCGTATATTCAGAACCTGTTGAATAGGAACGGGTATCAGGACTGGGTTGCGTATGATACCACTGTTGAGTTGGTTCAGAAGGACGTGGAAAGTGGGAAATGGATTCTCACTCTTAGACAGCCGCTGGAAAATGGAAAGGAGGATAGATGGTGGACTGAAGAGTTCGATGCAGTGGTTGTTGCACCTGGACATTATACTGTCCCGTTCATCCCCTTTACTCCCGGTCTAGCGGAATTGGCGCGTGACTTTCCAGGAATGGTAGAGCATAGCAAAGCCTGGAGAGAGCCAGAGAAGTATAGAGGAAAGCGAACAGTGGTAGTAGGAGCCAGTATCTCAGGACCAGATATTTCACATGCTCTTGCCGACATAACAGAAGTTCCACTGAACTGTGTTGTACGAGGAAAATGTGAGCGAAATCATCTCCTGCCATGACAATATTTCTAGGCTGACAGTTTTAGATCATCCATACTTCTTCGACTACGCATTTCAACATCCCAACATCCTTCGCCGGCCACCAATTACACATATCACCTCTAACCGATCCACGAACGAACGAACAGTACATTTCGAAGACGGCACAAGACTCGATAACGTAGACCACATAATATTTGGAACAGGGTAAGGCATCCTTCTCCTCTTTCTCCCTTCCCACCACCATCTCCTCACCTACTAACCAGACCCCCGAAAAGCTATTCCTGGACGCTCCACTTCCTCCCCGACCTCGCCTCAACAATCCGCAACAACCGACTCCCCAATCTCTATCAACACGTATTCTGGCAGCAGGACCCAACGCTCTGCTTCGTCGGTGCCGTAGCTGCCGGCTTCACTTTCAAAGTATTCGAGTGGCAAGCCGTGCTCGCGGCCCGGTTTCTTGCCGGACGCATCACTCTGCCTCCCCTATCCGCCCAAATACAATGGGAGAAGGATCGCATCGCGTATAAAGGGGATGGTGTACCTTTCTCGGCGCTGTATCCTGATTTTGAGGAGTACTTTGAGGAGGTGAGAAAGATGGCTGGTGAGCCGACAGAGGATGGGAGGGGTAGGCGATTACCTAGGTTTGAGGGGTGGTGGAGGGAGGGATTTGAAAGCGGACATTTGAGGAGGATTGACATGTGGAAACGAGCGAATGAGGAGGCGAGGGCGAGGATTGAGAGGGAGAAGGACGGAGTAGTTGGGGAAAAGGGTGGTGGGAGGGATAGTAATTTGTGATGACGGCACTGAAAGCCAAAGGTGGTAGTAAATTATAGAATATCTCGGCTCCGCCCAACATCGAAGCGACCAAAAAGGGGTAAGCTAAGCGAGATACTGTGACTCTGATGGAAAGTTTTAGTCAGCCGATAAGGTCACTGCCGGGCCTCAAAATCAGATAGTTTTAGCGAACATCAAGGGGTATCTTCATTATTACATCCTTCTCTTGCTATGTACAGATGCCAACCAAAAATCCTTTGCCGACACGTCCGATCATCGCTCATACTTTGGCAAAGCTTCACGATGCGTCGACGACTCCGGTAGATTGTGATGTGCATACTGAGGGCCATATTCATCTTCCTCTAACATTGGAGGCGCCGATGGCTCGTGCTGGGGTCTGCTGCTTCCCTCACCAGCATTGTCTTCCTCATCCGCAGGAAACTCAGATGGAGCGCTTGCCTCTGCAATCAATCGTCGACGCTCGAGTTCTTGCTTATCTTCTGTGGGTAGCTGCCCTGCTGCTGGATTCAGATCTTCCGGAGCTGGGGCTGATGGACCAGCAGGAATGTCCAGAGGAGTGCTAGTGGAAGGTGGAAGGAACGCGCGTGGTGCTTCCTGAGGAGTTGCATCGTCTGGACCATAAAGATCCTCTTCCAGTTCGCCTGGCGGCACGGAAGGGGCAATTGAAGGAATGACTGTTCTCGAAGATGAAGGTGCATTTTCATCTCCTGGTGGCTGACTGGGAAGCAGTCTCTCCTCAGCTCGGCGTAGCCTCTCCTTCTCACTCAGACCCTCATCGGCTTGGATTTCTGGTGGTGGTACATGTATTTGAGCATGGTTAGGAGGCTGATAATGATCTTGATAATCGTATTCTTCGGTCGCAAAGTCCTCGGGATGCTGATGGTCTGGGTGTGGATGTTCTGGCGGTCGATCATAGTATGGATAAGGATCTCTATACTGCTGATTGTTGTATTGTTCATCGTTCGTGGCTACTGACTCCTCATAGATAGGTTCATGTGTTGGTGCAGGCACCACAGACATCTCGTCTGACCAATCACTTATCAGTCTCCTCACAGAACTGTTCCCACGAGCTCGCTTGCGTGCCGTATCTTTTGTCCCTACAACGACTTCAAAACGACATTCCACCACACTCTTCTCTCGTCGAATGTTCGCTGTGTCAACAATACTTCCGCCCCATGCGGCTAGCATGTTAGGATTAACTTCTCCGCTGCGGGCACCAGCAGAAGCTCCGAAACTCGATGGTAAAGCGACGGCTCCCAGTCGAGGAACGTGGCGCTGCTGGCCAGCAAGCTTTCCTCCTAGATCAACGACTACCTCCACGTGATACCTGAAAGCTATCATTTGTCCAGGAACACCAGAGATTGTGGGGAATACGTCCTCCGGAACTCTGACCGAAACATTGACTACTGCTGTCAGACTCGTGGGATCGACTAGAATTGGAGCAAAGGTCTGGGCTAAGTCCTTCCTGAACATGCTACTCGAACCAGCGGATGACAGAGAAAGCCCTCCAAGTCCAGTCTTAGACTTGGGATAGTACTCCTCATGCTTCAGTCTCTCGGCGTCTTTTCCTTTGATATCCGCGAAGAGTGATAATGGAGGTGCAGAATCGATCCTGCCCTGTCTGTAGAACGTAATAATGATTCCATGCATACTTTTGAGCGGCTTGGTATGCTTTATGGAGATTTTGAGGGGAAGATTATCACCAGGCAAAACGCCTGACTTGAGAAGCTCGATTGTGGCCGTGATTGTCTGGTCTGAGAGGGACACCTTGCTGCTGTTCCTTGGGCTATCCTTTGTCGATTTTGCTGAAGAAGGCACTGCACCCAATCTGAAGCTTAGACCAGTGCTACTACTCACCGTACTCTCTGCACTATTACCTGCACTGCCCGTACTCTGTATCTCGCTCGGAACCGGACTCCTCGGACTGGTAACTTGATGGTCCACGGATCCGCACTGACTCGCCGAGTCGTCAGGAAGAGGCGATGTTACAGCTCTTGCAGCCTCACTTCCAGAGCCTGTGCCCGTTTCTGTGGTTTCTGGTGACCCGTTTTCCTTGTTCTTGATTGTTTTCCTCCTCCTAACGCGCCGCGATATGGGTTCGAGGGATATCTTCTGTGGTTTAGGGGGCACCATAGGTCCAATGTCGACCGTCTCAACTAGGGAAAGTTTCTGGTCGCAGCTCGAGGTTGCGGTTATGGAGGTTGGTCTTGTTATCGTGGCAGTGATTAAGTATGAAATTGTTCCTCTCTCGAACTATTAATAAATCAGTAAACTGGACTGGTAGACGCAGGATGGTCAGTAGATTGGTAACTCCTACGTCAACACTAGAAGGCAGTCCTTTCCTGGGGAACTCCAACTCGAAATTAAACTCATAGACACCAATATCGAGTCGTCCCTCTCCACATAAAGTGACCTCATCTTGGAACAGAGAAGCATGGCCGTTGCCAAAGTATTGTGACTTCCTGGGGTTGCTGGACGCGGTCAACCCAAGATCCGGCAATGGATCGTTCGCGCCATTCGGGCTCTTGAAGACTCTAACAAAGCCATGGAGGCAGACGGTGAGATGGGTAAGTCGTATTGGTTTGACAACAGTGAGCACGACAGCACCCCTCACTAGGTCGCCGGGCGAGTACTTTCGATGAGGTTCGTCGGGGCGGATGTGGAATTCAGTGAGGTTTCTCGTCCGGGACTTCAACGGCGCGGTCAGTCGCGACAAAAACGATCGACCATTCGACGGTAGAGGCGACACCGACGTCGTTGGAGTGACATTTGCGCACATGTCAATATGTTGTGAGGTGTTTATCGCCAAGATTCGATCGTGGTTTGCCAAGTATTCGGGATACTCGACAGCGGCGAGTGACCGGTCACATGTAGAGGCCCGTATTGGCAGACGGAGCGCAAAGCCAGAGGCTGGTGTGACTGGCCCAACCAAACCAAGACTTGATCTGACCTGGTGGTGTTAGATCACCTCAGTGCCGCGCCGAGCATCCAAGGTGCAAGTAAGTTAAGTGTGCGCTGAGTCGGATTGATGTATCAAGGCGTCGGAGACGGACGCAGGAAAGTAGGAGGAAAGGGGAGGGGAGTAGGGGAGTGCAAGAAGAAGTCAACCCAGCATCAGGAGGGACGAGGACGCGGACGCACGAGCAAGCAATGGAACCTAAGTCAAGAGATCTGATCGGGGGAACAGGGACCTAGAAAAACTGGGCCGCGCCTGTTGGACAGTTGGAGGAGGAGAGGTGCAGGTGTGGGTGTGGGTGTGGGTGAGGTGGACTTGACTTGCTGTGCCAGTACAGTACAGTAGTAAGGTAGTAGCGGTGCAGCGTTGCCAGTAGTGCAGTACAGTAATTCGTAAATTTAAAAGAGGGGAGGGGACGGGGGAGTCGGGGACCATGGAGTGTTGGAGGAGCGCTGGGGTGAAGAAGGAACGGGCCAGAGGCTGGCTGGCTGGCTGGCAAAAGCAGGGGGCCGTGTATTGAGGGTGGATGTACTGTATGAGACTTGCTTGAGTAAGGCAGCTGCTGGTGTACTCGAGTACTTGTAGGCACAAGTACGGATAATAATAATGGATAGATGCAACACTGCAATTGCAGGATAAGGCCGATTTATCAACGAAGAACGAGAACCGAAGAGGAAGGCAAGCAACACGCAACAAGCTCGCGGCAGGGTAGGCAAGGTTGCTTGTGCGTGCGGTTGTGGTTGCGGTTGTGGTTGTGGTTGGCAAGCTGTGCAGGAAGCAGGCGCTGGGAATTTTAGCTGCGCGCCCTGGAATAGTCGAGGCCGGCTTGGGAAGTTGGGAGGGGTCCTGACTCCTGAGGGGGCAGAGGCAGGCGAGGCAGGAGGCAGGGCAGGGCAGGGCAGGGCAGGGCAGGGCAGGGCAGGGGGAAGAGAGAGGAGAGGGGAGACGAGCAGAGGGGATCCCGTGTTAGCTCTGAATAATAATGCAGGTGGGCTGAGGGTCCCAGACTCCCAGACTCCCAGACTCCAAGGTCTCCAAAAGGTAGCTAGACCTCCGCCTACTTCAGAATGGAAGGACTCCACTGTCACGCTCGAGACTGGCGGACTGGCGGACTGGCGGACCTCCAGCTGCAGGTAAGGTAATGGTAATTATTTAGGTAGAGTAGCGAGCGCAGTGCAGCAGCAGCTCCTGATTCGAACCCACTAGGCCTACAGTAACAGGTAGCTCTACTATCGAGATGCGCCGAACTGATAAAAAAGACTAAAGATTAGATGGGAAGTACTAAACGCATGTTCTGTTCCAGCCAAAAATAGTAAGGAGTCACGTTTGGCTCTCAAATCCGTGCGGTTTTGAACATGTATGGGCCCCCTGGAAAAGGTTGAGACACTCGGCCTTCAACAATCACGAAAGACCGGTTTCGATCAAACGTGCCCAAAATTGTGTTTAGTCCTCGTCGATACCATAAGCAAGTGTGCTACCAAGCCGTAGGCTCGGTCTCTGCACACGTATACCCGTCCCAGAGCAGCATTACATCAATGGAGCGAGGATGTTCCGATGCTGCCGATGAGGAGATGGAGATACTAGAATCCACAAGAGAGGTAATTTGCCGTAGTAGCAGGTCTTGGATACAGAATGAGGTGGTCATCGTGGCGGAGTGCTTGTGTTAGCCTTCAATGATCTTGGAATTGGATCTTATTGGTGTGAGAGTACCATTAAGACTACCAGGCCTCCAGGATATTGCACGCCGTCTCGTCCGTCCATCGCCGTAGCTTCGAGGTAAGAAAGGCAGCACACGAGCTGGCTAGAATTCCTCATTGAGCAGCAGCAGTCCCAAAGGGGACGATGCATGGTACCAGCTTTCCCCATCACGCGCAGCTTCGAGATCTTGGTTGATTCGCTGGGTTACCTTCCATTGCTGGCAATGTGTGGCAACCACCATGAGGACGAGGGAGTACCAGACATCACCTCGGATTATGACCATCGGTGAAAGCTGGAGACAGACTCAGCCTGCCGTGGGGCAACATTGGCACTGGGACTGCCTCAGAATCGGATTCGTCATCAGGTCGGACACTGCGGCAGCAGACCATCGAGAACTGGAAATACCTGCCACTTCTACAGGAATTTGATGTGACCCAAAAATTCGCAAGAAGATGAGCTGAGCACTAGAACGTTAGTTTCTTACCTCGTCCTTTCCACAAACCGTCCTTAAGTTCGCCTGGATAAATACCAAGACTGCCGTTCGGCGGACGGAGCACTTGCATTCCACCGCTCATCTCCCGGGCTTGTTGTAGGCTCTAGACCCAGACAATGCGGTTTCTTCCAGAGACAAGCTTTCTCCAGATCAGACCAGACCGGAGATCAATGACGATGAAAAAAGCTTGACCAAGACATGTCGCGATCTGGAACCTGACTCCCGCCCTCGTATCACGAGCCCCCTCGCAAATGGCTGGTAATGCCCTCAATTGCGTGGCATGCATGACAGCGTATCCCATTGCGGTTTCACGCAACGCATCATCGCTCCATTGGCTGTCCTGTGGTGCTGCTGCGTTGCTGACTGTGCATCACTTTCTCGACCCAGGATCCATGTATGTTGACATCCACATGCATTGCCATCATTGTGAACAAGCCAGACGATACACCTGCACCTGTGGCAGCGTTAAAAGCTCAGCATTACCAGCCAGAATACAAAGCCATATCATAGTGTACCACATCGGTTCACGTCAGAAACTATTCCTTCCACCATCATCCATAAGCCCAAAGACCCGCGAGCACATCACAGCTCCTTCAAGCCTTCCCCGAAGACGTACTCGTCGCCGCAAGCTGACAGCATGAGCTCCGCAGTTTGGTTTCGATCAGAGGTAAGGGTTCCGATGTGAGACTCCAGGGACTCAATGATGTCAGTCCACCTAATGGCACTGTTCTTCAGCTGCTTTGCCTCCACGATCTTGCGCTGCAGCTCCGCAGGATCATTATCGCTGTAGCAGGCCAACTCCTTGTCCAAAGCCTCCATTTCCTTCAACAGCAATACATGAGCTTCCAATAGCTCTTTCCTGTCCATACCATTGCCATCGAGCAAGTTCTCATCATCTTCCTCGCGCTTGGCCATCTCCTCCTCGATCTGTCTTTCCGTCTCCGCAATCGCTGTTGTTATGGTGCTCTCCTCAGCCTTTAACTTGTTCAGAATATTCTCCTTGCATTTCTTCGCGTCCGACATGAAGCACCAGTACCAATTGCCGCTACCGATCTTCTCGACTCGAATGAGGTTCTCGTCTTGCATGGCTTGGAGGGTGTCCTTGACTTGCATTGCGTGAATCGCAGCGACGGACGAAAGGGTCTTCTCGAGCTCCTTGAGGGTAAAGACGCTCATCGATTCTCGGAAGTATTCGAGGATCTTTTGTTGCTTTGCAGCAGCGGGAAGGTTCTTAGGTGCCTGAAATGGTCAATCCAAGGTTCTTGTCTCGGAATAAGCGTCTTACCATTTGTCTGGACTTTCGCTTGCTATTCGTCCAATTTATGTGTTGTGGCTGTTGCTGTTAATGTCAATTAATCCGGGACGAAGGTAGGCAGGAGGTTGAGGGTGGGCTCCTACAGAGCGACAAAACAATGAATTATGGTTGGCGAAAGTCGAGCCAGATCCGCTACCCTCGAAATATTGAGAGAACGTGAGCATGGCACAGACCCGAATGATTCACCTCAAAATTCCCTGATGACTTTATTCCGTTCACTTTTGAATGTGCACGGCTGAGCCAATATTCAGCTTGTTAATTCCATATTCTACAACTCCGTTAATAGTAAGTCAAGTACAACTACATCTCTTTTCCCATCTACACCTGCACTTGTTCTTGTGAACACCGACAGAACATCAGATGTCTCCAATCTCTGCACATCAACCAACGGCTCACCATCGTATCCATCCAACATCCATACTGGCTCGAACCTAGAATATTGCTCCTCCTTTCTCGCCCGCATGATATTCAGACTTGGATCAGAATTCCCTGGCAATACAAGATAAACATCACCCTTTCTGTCAGTACATACACTACCCCTCGAGCCAGTCTCCGTAGGTTCTGGAACGCTGTCAATGACCATCCTCGTCCAAGTGCCTTTGTTGTTAGCATGTCTGATCACCACGCACTGCAAGCAGCAACACACCTTCCGGATTACGATAATACACGATCCATCTCTCCTCACCTCCCACCTTCTCCCGATTCAGAACCCAGAATCCACCATCCCAATCCGCCGCTTGACCCTCCTGATTTAAAATACCACTTCCCATCGGGATCTCGTACACTCTTGCAATATCGACACCAGGCTTGATCGAGGAGGTCTCAATACCATCACCGCCCGTCATACAAGCAATCACTCTTCCCTCGGAATTCTTCCACGTCACACCCCGGTCATCAGAAAATGCATAATACAGATCATAGTTATTCTCCGGTCCATTCGGCCCAGATTGCTGTTGATGAACATGTGGAGTTACTACAGGGCTTTGAGTGATGACGAACTTGCGGTAGCACCACGAGATGTGCAGTCTATCTTTCCTGTAGTCGATGCCGTTGATATACGGACTGTTGGCTACCCCCATCAAGTGCTGGCCAATCAATGTGTACTGATGGGAAGATGATGAATATCGGTGCAGTAGATCTGAACCAAGACCTGCCCTAAGGTCTGTGTTAGCCAATTCACTATACAGTATTGCTACATTGAGATGTTATTGATTTTTGGTCTCAACATACTGGCCAGTTCGGTGCGTGAAAAGCAGATCCTTGCCAATAGCCACAAATCTTGGATACGTAACTTCTTTCAACAAATCGCCTGTTTCAATTCCCGGTAGATAAGACCTTGTCTCCGTGAAAAGCGAAGTTACCCAGACATGACTAGAAGGATTACTCGCTACATCGATTTTGGACATTCTGAACTTCAGTCTACAGACCATTAACTTGTTGTGCTCAGGAAGGAATGTCGGACTCACTGGTCACAGTGATGATCAAATGCGACATGGATGGTTCCATCTCCTTCGCAAACTCCAATAGATATGGTATCATGTCCATCATCACGAGTTTGCTCATAGTCCTCAAACGTCAAGACTTGCCACTCAGTGGTACTCGCCTCAACTTGATCGAGAGGGAGTTGACGTCGGGCGAGGTTAACACGACATCCAGATCCACTTTTGCCCGGTAAAACAGCTGTATAAAATGCAGCATATTGCCATCCCTTGACAGCGGTTATTGCGTTCTGCTGAAAGGAATTGGCGTTGATTCTATGGCTTCTATTTGGATCTTGGCCGAGGATCGTGATGGTTGGCGATGGAAGCTTCATCGTAATGGCTATGATCGTAACTCCAAGCTGAACCTGATACAAGAGTCAAATGAACAGTATATGGTCCAGTGTAAAACCTCAAAGTTCAGCATGAGTATCACGACGCAACAAGTGAAGTGTCTCCCTCGCTCACACCTTCCTCTTTGAGACTCGGCAGTCGATATCCCGAATGCTTCCCGGCTATTCAGGAGCTGATGCCCATACCAGCTATTGAATCAGAACATCGCGTGAAGCTGTGCTTGCAAATTCCCTAATTAGTATTTATGAATTAAATTTCCTATCCTCAAAGGCACACTATGTGATTATTCACTGATCTGAATGAGGCACTTCCAAGTCACCTTCAACCATCATGATTACAACATTTCATTTGGTAATATGAGTGAGCAACCGCACTGGAGATGCTAATAATTTAAGACCTCTAACAGTAATGGAATGAGAAATGCAGCCATTAGACGGTTATCAAACAAGCTATAATTGGCGTGTGGAGGGTAGCAAAGAACGACAAGAGTCAAGTTAGAAACAATAAGCAAGATTGTTCGACTGACAAGCATTCCGGATACGAAGAATCGTCAACCTAATCAAGTACGTATACTTCATACCTCCTGCAGAAGTCATAGAATCACAAACTTGACCGTCTTTCAAGATGCATCTCTCTCAATCTCTGCTCACCTATACGTACTGCATCCTCCCAATCCGTATAAATGCTGCCGTAAAAACCCTCTGCATCCACAACAGCCTCACCAGGCTCTCCTAAGCCCTCCCCAACAAACCCGGCCAATTCAACCGCATCTCTAATTGCAAAACACGCCCCCTCTCCCCCAAGCACAGGTAAAGCATGCGCCGCATCCCCAATCAACAACACACCTCTCCCCTGGTTCGCGAGTCTCTCCAACTCCTCTCTTTTCACAAGCACATCCCTCATCAGCCAATGCAGCGTTCTCCCCTTCCTCACATTCCCCTCATCGAAAGCATCTTTAAAGGGCTGCTCTAGGTCTTGTAATCTCGAGATTTCGGCAAAGAACTCTTCTGAAATATCAGATGCTTGGATGGGCAAGCGATCTGGCTGGTGGAGAGGATCTTCGGACTTTGTGTGGGAAGGCCGTGAATAGATATAGCTTATATCTACTGCGCCCGAAATTTGCTGGTAGTCGTTGATAGCAATTTGCAATAGTGTCTCGTCTTGCTTCGTCTCTATTATGTTCCCATCCTTGAAGTAACTCTCGTATGTCTCTTTAAACGCAGCTCTCTCGACACGGCGACTCCCTCGAAATACCACGTATGGAAGGACATTGAGTTGCACATGAGGCAGAAGTGACTTCCGGATTTGGGAATGGACACCCGATGCATCGACTACGATGTCACAATGAACTTTCTCTTTGTCTTTGAAAGTTAATGTATGACCTGTTCCGTTCGCTTCGACACCCTCCAATGCATGACCCCACTTGATGTCCAACTCCTCCCTCAGCACTTCCTCCAGTCTGCCTTGATGCGCTCTCAGTAGCTCAGCATGTCCCTTTCCACTTCCCAAACCAGACACTAGACTGGGGTAGACCTTTCCTGTACCTCCCCTTAAGCCATCAACAGCGACTCGGCGTGCGAAACTTGACTCATCTACATTGAGCACATTGATGAGAAGCTTTGTAGCCCATGGCTGCAGCGAGACTCCGTAGTTGTGAAGAGCGGGCGAAGGGCTCTTATCAAAGATTATAGACTGGACGCCGCGATGTTTGAAGCAACGAGCAAGTGTTAAACCACCTATGCCGGCGCCGATGATGTGTATTGGTTGAGCAAGAGTCATGACGCCATACACTTTGCGAAGTCCGAATATAAGAGCTGTGGCGTTGATTTGACGAAAATTGTATTCTGAGTTTGGAACTCTTTAGAAGAGAGGATGGACAGCAGGGCAGGAAATAAGGGGATGCCTCAAGACAAAGGCAGTGAATAGCAGCTGCCATGCTGTACGGGTTTTAGCGTTTGGTCAATTAAGCGAGCCGCTGGGATTATTGTCTCAAATCACAAAAGACCGAAATGAACAATCAAGGCATGAAGAACAGGATAATTGAGATAATTGAGGGCAGTTCAATTGCTGCGCACATAGGTGCTAAATCTCGCCATCATGCCGCCGTAAAATACACATCCGCCAGCGTTAGATTACAATTCACTCTTGATCGCCTTTCCCTGGTATGCTTCAACCCACTGCTTGACATCCTCTCTATCTCTATCAAGCCATGCGCTCTTTGCCTTGATAGAATCAAGGCTTTGTGCGAGACTTTGGTCAAAACCCTTCGTGCTCTTGCCCTCGAAGAATTTGGTAATCCGGTCAATATCAGCTTGACTGGAGAAGCTTGATGTGCAGATCGAAACCATAGACCCAAGCATAGACAACCCCGCAGGAAGTCGTCTGGCAAGCTCATCCCAATTCTCGGTCATCCAGGTATATAATGCCTCAATTCCTTCAGGGTGGGATCTGAGAGCGCCGACAGGCATGTAGATATCCTGCTCCTTGACCTCACCTCCGAATGGCAAGGTAAGTGTTCTCTTGATCAGCTCAGGATCCTTGGCTCTGCCTAGCGATCGAAGTGCGGTGTTACGTTCATCAGCCGTCTTTCCTGTTCGGTATGCATTGAGAATGACATCATACTAGAAGCTGTCAGTAATGAGTTGCATCCTTGATTCAGAGAGACATACTTCTTTCGCGCCACCATATTTCAAGTTGATGCCGTAAACACTCCCTCTGATATTGGGATGAATGGCGGCTAGATCACCCTCGGCAAATTTGGCGAACATATCCTGGGCAGCTTTGATAATAACCTTATCACCGGCCATTCCAGCGCTGCCAAAGAGGAGGCCCTTGAATTGCTGCTCGAGATGGTCATCACTATCCGTGAACTCCCAGCCAGCCTTATGGGCAAGATCGCTGACGAGGTCCCGCTGGAATGTCTCGAGACCGTCTTGGATCTTCTGATCTTCGAAAGTCCATGTCCCTCGTACAGAGCCGAGCCTAGAGACGATCTCACTCCATACGATAAACTCTTTCTCCTCGCTAAAGCCCTTCAGCAAGTTAAGAACACCCGAAGTCTTTCCATAGCCTGATGCTGCGAGTGCACCTGCGTCTGAAATCATACCAGCACGATCTTCAACTGTCAACAGGCCATCTTTGGCAGCTTGGCCAAGTTTTTCCAGGCGAGCTGGGGTGTATGAAGTTCTGTAAATAGAAGAGTGATCTGCGTTGAGCTTGAAAAACTCCTTATCCTTGACCGTGAAGTCTTCCTCTCTGGTCGACAAGACAAGTGACTCGTCTACGCCGTCTTTGGTGCGGAGGCCCAGGAAGACAGGATAGAGGACAGTATCCTCCTCAGGCTTGACGTCTCCTGTTCGGAGGAATCGGTTTTGCTTTACATGGATCGAGTTTGATCCTTCATTCTCCGTGACCGAAACCACAGGGTAGCCGATCTTCTTGGTCCAGATGTCCATGACCTTCTCGACATCTTTTCCACTGGCCTTGCTGAGCGCTGACCACAAATCACCGGTCTGGGTGTTGCCGTAGGCATGCTTCTTCTGTTCTTGAAGTTAGCCGCTGCTTGCAAATGTTTCAAGCTCATAGATCAAGATTGAGATCCGAAATAGGAAAATAAAAGAAGCCAACCCAAATCCCGGGCCAATGGGACTTTATAAGCCACATAGTACGTACCAAGTAGTCTCGGATACCCTGCATGAAAACATCCTCGCCCAAATATTTCGAGACCATTCGAATGACACTGGATCCCTTCATGTAAGAGATTGCATCAAAGATTTGGTTGACCTCGTCAGCTCTCTTAACTGGCACTTCGATTGGGTGACTGCTGCGCAGCGAGTCTAGACCAAGAGCACCTTGGAGGCTGTCTGTAACATAGCCTGAAACTAGTGGTTAGCAGTTGCCACATCTGCAGTGATATGGGAAGAAACAAAGTCATGTCTCTGGAAAACATGGAGACATTCCACCTTGAAATAATGAGCCCCAAACCTACTTTGCCACACCTTCCACTCTGGGTAGAAAACATTGCAAGAGTACCACGACATCCCTAGAAGTCAAAACGTTAGCATTTGTTCGACTACTCATGACCGGAAGTGCATTTGTGAGCGAAGTACTCCAACAGACTGGATTGGGGTAAACAGGCACGGCCCGGACAACATACAAGTCGCAAACCCTTCGTTGAGCCATAGACCATCCCAAAAATCCATTGTAACCAGGTTTCCGAACCATTGATGAGCTAGCTCGTGCTGAACGACTTCTGCGACACGTTCCTTGGTGGAAGCACTGCTGGTCTTTTCATCCAGCATAAGATCCACGACACGGTAGGTAATCAAGCCCCAGTTCTCCATAGCACTAGATACTGATTAGAACATCATATATATCTTGTGATGGATCCTGATCTTACCCAGCAGCAAAATCGGGAATAGCAACCATGTCCTGCGTCTATCAAAACCAATGCTCGCTAGAAGAAGTGTTATTAGACTCACCATTTTCGGCAAAGGGAATTGGCTGTCGAAGGTCTTTTCGTAGAACTCGAGTGTTCGAGCAGCCAGTTCCAGAGAAAATCGGCCATGTTCGATGTCAGATGTTGGAGGAGCATAAACTCTGACGGGGACTCTGAACTTGGTGGACTCGATGTAATTGAGCTCGCCAATGATGAAACATATCAAGTATGTGGACATGAGAGGGGACTTGTTGAAGGAAACAGCCTTCTTAATATCTCCACTGAACTCAGATGTAACCTGCTTCTCGGATGACACATCCATGTTGCTCAAGCATGTGAACTTTTTGTCGGCAATCAATGTCACAGTAAATTCGGCTTTCAGAGCTGGCTCATCAAAACATGGAAAAGCTCTCCGGGCATCTGTAGCCTCCATTTGACTGGTTGCCATGATAGATTCGGTCCCATCAGCATTCTTGTATGTAGATCGGTAAAATCCGGCCATTTTGTCATTCAAGTCCCCAGTGAAGGAAATTTCCACCGTTGCCTTGGATCCTTTCTCAAGAGTCTTCTCAAACGCAATCTTGGTTGTCTGGGAGTCCTCATCGTAGGTCAGAGCTGGATCGGAGCTGGTGCACACCGAGTCAGTACAAGAAACTTATTCCGAGGGTAACTCGAAGGTGAGGCGAGGTGATCACAGGGTAGATGAAATTGATGACTAGATGGTCCCCTGCCAAATGCGTCTTTGCAGCACGTCGCGATGTGGACTCTACAATGCCTGCACCATATGATTATGCATCCAATAAGAAGATGAAGCTCTCGAAGCTGTACATTCGGATCGATTTGGTCTTGTAGGTCGTGACGACTCGTAAGAGCAGGAGTTTTATCATGGGTACTGCTAGACAACCACACCGGGGGATACCATAGAGAGATAACTGACCTTACGAGAGTACCTGAGCCAGAAATAATCTTGGTACTATGGATCTCAAGCTCTAAAGTATTCAAAGAGATTTCGCTCGTATCTTTGGCCACGTCCAAGTCAATAATCACTGTGCCCTTGAACTTGAATGTCTCGAAATTGGGTTCCAAGGTGATGTTGTAGTGTTTGGGAACGACATCCGCGGGGAGAATCTGTCTGCCTTTGGTAACGTCCATACCGCTCGACTCGACGTCCCGCTCGCCTTGGGATCTACACATCTTATGGTTTCGATACGAACAATTTCGAGTGGCTGTGAAGGCTGGAGGATTGTTTTTGCGGGATGTGGGAGCTTGTGGTCGTTTGCAAGTGGGGTGAAATCTGTAATGTCGTGTAAGTATTAGAATAAATAAGAAGCAGAATGGGAAGCTTACAGTGAATTATGAGAGTAGAGTGCGGAAGAACGGGACAGATTGCCAGAGAGTGCTCTCCTTTGTGTTGCTGAAGTAAAGGTCGACACGGTTGGGCGTATAAAAGAACTTGAGAGGATCGTGAGTTCGATCGCAGAAGTAAAAAGACGCATTGACAACATGGAAGTAAGGAGGGGCTATGCAAAGAGCAAAGAGAAGGAGGGGAGGGGAGGGCAGGCAAGGTGGGGTCTATGCAGGGCAGGGCAGGGCAGGGCGATTAACACATCGAGGACGAGTTGACCGGACTTGACTGGACTTGACTGGACTCGATTCAATTCCTCGTGGTAGCGGCGGCAGAAGTTGGATGCGCCTGCCAAAAGAGGCTTTAGTCTACGCTCTTTCGGGAATGGAGCACAAAGGGCGGTGTGCAGACTTCCACTCTGCATATATTTTTCCTGGCGCGCTCTCTTCCTGATCTATCTGTTCAGCAACATAAAGTTCTTCCAACACGCTCGATTGTTTACACGAAGTGTCTGGCGTTCTCTGATAATACAATTGGACGTTGCAAGAAGAATCACACCGCAAGTTTGAGGCGACCAAGACTGCGTTCGCGCTATGAATGGAAGCTATAGGAAGTCGGCACAATATCATGAGATGATGAGAATACGTTCAATTGAGTTCGATGACACGGCATCTAGCTGCCTGGCATTTTAAGACTTCATGCGCCAAAGGACCTGCGCTGGTGACGATGCTAGAGGCAACCTAGCAAGGCAACCCAGTCTTCGTAAGCCAACCTCAGCGGGAAGCTGAGGAGGCAGAGTTCATCTTGTATGGGCGAACAGGTGGTTCACGCCGGCAGAGCAGGCCATCCATCTGCTTGCGAATGCATGCTTCCGTTCCTGCTGTCATCGAAGTCTCCCTCTACATGTCCTCCATGACCCCAAACAAGACCTTCAACCAAAGACTGCATCCCTTGCATCCAACACTAATTTCACCGTCCTCAGCAGCCTCTTCCAGATCTGCCTCCTTGATCAAGAACCCTCTGTCATCACCACACCTGCAACTCCGATACCATATGCCTTGTGCCTCGTCAACATCCAGGTCATCTAAATCCACAGACTCAATGCCCGTGCGAAACACCTGCCTGCCCGCTACCCCTCCATCTTGTGTAATAGTGCTTTGAAGCTTTAGTTCCTGGTCGTATTTGGTTCTAGATTTTGGGTTCGCCAAAGTATTGAACGCTTCGGATATTTGGTCGATCGAATATGTGGTTGCTTTCGAGTTCAGGGCATGATTCGTAGTGGTTTTGTCTGGGTGGTTTTGGAGAAGTGCTCGTCGGTACGCGGTCCGCAAGGTTTGCGCCGGCAGATTTGGCTCATCGTGAAGAGCTTGAGGGAGGCCAAGAATTTCGTAGTATGTTGGCATGTAGGTCATTGATCCATCGGAAGTTGGCCTGGTCCGAGTCTTAGTTGTGTGAGAATGTGGATTGCCAAAGCAGGTGAAATTCTGACTCAAATCTATGGTGGCCTGAGGATATCATATTATTGAAGCGGCACGTGAGTTATGTTAGGTACCTAAGGTACCTACCGTGGGTACCTAGGCAGGCACTAGGTAACGAAGTAAGTACCTAGGTACTTCTTCCATCCCGTCAATGAAAGCAGGCCACGTCTGGGTCTAGATGCGGACTGAGGAACTATGATTGTATAGTTGATCAGGTTGAAAGCCTCATCGGCAGGTGATGATTTGGATTTATTGCCACAATACTTGATTTGACCTTAACACCTTGATAATTGACAGTACAAACTTGGAGTACCTACATCAAGCAGAAAGCTGTATTCACCTCAAACGCTGTGTCGGAATTGCAACTAGTCAAATCAACTTTACCTATTCAGGTTTTCGTCCATATACAACGAGACTTCGCACGTCAGCAAAGGAAAAAATTAAGCCGGAAAGGGAAACTCACACAGGTTGATAAGCATGAATATTTCTATTCACAATATCCTTCCTTACTTTCGCTGTCAAGGTTTCCACTTCCTCCTTCGTCATGCCACCCGCTCTTGTTAAGACAGCCATACTCAAACCTTCCAAAGCCCTCAACATATCCTCCATCCAGTACGTAGCCAAGATCTTCATGTGGTCCCCCTTTGCCCATGGATTCATAGGCCACTGGAAGTGCCTCTCAGTCACATCCACAAAGCCTGCTTCTTCCATAAGTTTCGAGTACTTCTCAACGTTCTTCCAAGAGCGGCCAAGTTTCTCAGCAGCGTTCATGGTCGTATCAGCCCAAAATTCCATTGCCGTTCCCTTGAGAGTGTCGTCGATAGCGCGCATGGGAATAGCCATATCCTGAAGCTCGAAATATCCGCCCGGTTCTAGAGAGTTAAAAGCAGATTTAAAGACTGTGGCTGGGTCCTTGAAGCATGTTACCATAGCTCGACCGTGAACAAGGTCAAACTTTTGGGGATAATTCCACTCGTCTTCGAGGTCATCTACTTCGAATTGGCAATTTGACGGAATACTACAGATGTTAGCGATTCTACCTATCATTCGATGCTTTTTGACACACAACTCGGGTTGGATTGGAGACAAGTCAGTCCCGATCACATTCGTTGAAGGAAATCTGTTTGCTGATACGTGTGAGCAGGATGATCGTGAGAATTTCTAAAAGAGACCGAGACTTACCGAATTCTATTGCCCATATTCCAGTTCCAGTTCCAATGTCTAAAACATGTCGAGGATTCTTGATTGGTGATAAATGCATCTCGTCACGCAAGGTGAGCATCCACTAGGCGAGTCAACAGAGGAAGCGATCAAGGATACGGAACAGCACAAACCAATTGATGTTGGAGATCTTGGAAAGATTCAGCCTCATCGTATTCTAGGATACTATTTCAGATCTTACCGAGTCGTTCCATCTCTGCCTTATCACACTGTTAGGACATCTTCCTATAGAATCAGACATGCTTGAGAAAGTAAACTGACCTCATCATTGGGAAGGAAGTATGCTATCAACCTATCAGTCCAAACTTCAAAGGAGCCATAAAGTCTATTAACTTACTACCCTCTTTGTACCTGTGGTAGGTCCTCCCATTCTCTTCAACAAATTGGTAGACACTAGAATTGACGCTCATAGTCGATGTCTGCGGCGTCATACCACCAATAGCAGAATCATTCTCGTAATCAATCTGAGCAGTTAACACCATCGAAAAACAAGCCAAGAGCTCTTCGGTAAATACAGCTTACATTTAAATGCTGAAGCGCACTTTCTTCCATGGTTTCACTCTGACTGCTTCCACCCGAATGTGTTGCTGCACTACTTGATTCAACTGGCGCGTCATTCACAAGCTCGTTAGAGGTTCTAGGTGCAATATTTTGATCAGACATGATAAAGTCAACACGGTGTCGAGCCCTCAATCCTAATCTGCTCTAGGTAAGCACTCAGTTGTAGTAATGGAGTGAGCGAGGAGATGCCACGGAAAGAGGGGTTTCGGATTGCAACCCCACCACAGCGTTTATCAGAATTGTTATCACCGGGCTGGGCAACTAAAAGCAATAACGGGTCTATATTAGCCTTGAAGCAACGACACGCCTGTAGCTCCATGTAACCAATGAAGTTGTGCTTTTCCCGATCTTGGCCGGTGCCGTTGTGGAGTGGCTGGCGATTCGGGGCTAGCGGTCCTATTTCCAGCGGCACACCACTTAGTCCCCTGAGACGAGACTTCAGAAAGCATCTTGAACACTCTCTCTTGACGAACCGTAACAACGAAGTAAAACTTACCCGTCTTTCCTTATCTGTGAGACTTTGGTTATCCCGTTGTTATTCAACTTGATTTGTTCTATTTTCCAGGGCTCACGACCCAAATGCTGGTGGTCTGCTTCCCTCTCTATGACATGTCCTGGACTGAGGAAATTTCTGTCTCATACGGGTGAAGTTCGAAGTAAACATTCAAACTAAATAGACAGACTAAGGTTATTTTATTGAAAAGCTTACCGTAGTCAATTCTCCAATTATCCTAGTAAACCACTTGTCCTCCCTGTGCCGATGAGGAACAGGAAGTTTACATGATATGGCGCTAATTGGATGACTTTACATCTCCACCATACTCAACCCTCCGAATCATGGAGCGATTACAGCCTTCAATATTCACTATTCCAGCAAGCCCCATAGATCGATCGAGATCCGCCAGAACCCCTTGGGAAACCTGCTTGGCTCCTGCCTGAGGGAATAACCTCTTATCAGCAGCATTCATTTGTCGATTGATGAGACTCACCTTTCCAGCTATTGCCAAACCATAGATAGCTGGTCTCCCCACGAATACAGCTTTTGCTCTCAGAGCGAGTGCTTTGATAGTGTCGACTCCTCCTCGTATACCACTGTCGAATATCGGAATAGGATGCTAAGTTTGTCTCCTACTGCCTCTGCAATCTCCGGTAACATTTCCAGAGGTCCAACGGCCCCGTCAAGTTGTCGACCTGGCTATATCAGCTAACTTATCCAGAAATAGCAAGTACGGAATTCACCTCCATGATTACTGACTACAGTTCCACCAACACCATGTTGGACAGCCAACTTCGCATCTTCGGAGTGCTACCAATTTAGCTCATCCATTCTGACCTGCCACTTCTTAGACACTGACTTGAATTACTTTCAGAACAATTGGTCCATCCCAGTGTTTTTTCAGATGAGCAATCTGCTCCCAAGAATGCGCCGCGCCAGAGAATACATCTCCTACCCACTGGCTCGAAGCCTCAAGTGGTTTCTCCTCTGGAGTTGCATTGAACTTCTCCTTGAACATCCTTCTAAAGACTGGATCGGTAAATCGGGTTCTGTTTCCAATGCCCTTTATGAAAGGGATGTATGCGCCGTCGAGACCTGCTGGACGCCACGCCAGAGCCTATGTGTCTAGTGTTACGACCAGGACTTTGTACGCATTTTCTTTGGCTCGTTTTAGTAAGGATTCGGTGACCTCTTCGTCTTGTGGCCAGTATAGCTGAAACCAGCGAGGCCCGTTTGCGTTTGCTTTGGCGACTTCTTCGATAGAAGAACTGGAGGCAGTACTGCGTTTATATGGAACGCCTATAGATCTCGGAGCATACTTGAGCAAGGCCAGTCTCTTTATCTTCGTGGAATATGGTATGAACGCCAACTGGGGCCATCAAAACAGGGGTTTCTATGGCCGAATTCGATTAACTATATTCGAATTTGGAGACTGAGGGGTAGCACCGTAAGTTTCGCCGAAGAGTTTGATGGTCAAGTCTCGACGTGTTGTCGGTCTCAGCATACGCGGAACCACTTTCCATTGCCGAAATGCCAATCTATTTGCGTCCATCGTGGCCCTCTCACCTGCACCTCCAGCTACATAACTGTACGCTGTCGGTTTCATTATGCTTTTTGCTTGCTCTTCGAGCTTATTTGGATCAGTAGTGACGAGCGGCAGCCTTTGATGAAGCATTCCAGCTGTAAAATTGTTACAAAATAATGTGTGTCCAATCAGGAGAACTGTTCTAACCTCTATACAATTCATTCTGGAAAGCTCCATATTTTCCGTGCAGATTGGTCCCGTGAACATCTTCAGGCTGCTTCTTGGAAGCGGAAGACATCTTGTGAAGATGATGTGCAATGAAACTTGACGTTGGAAACGGGGTCTTTCACATACAATTAATATGTTAAAGCAGGAAAATTTTCATTATACTATTTTGTGAAAGCTTACAAGAAAGGGAGTCGATAGTATCAGCGAGGCTTTTACTGTCTAGAATCAACCAAAGTCTCTCGGATACATCACTGAAACCCGATGGTATAACAGTTAAATGCCTAGGCAACTTTGCTCCCGCGGGCCGACGAAAGACGCCCCTGAATGAGTGGGCAAATCAAAACAATCACAGTACACCTCTGATCTGGCATGTATCATGTCCGTCATTTTTGAGGTGTCTGATGATTATAAGTGTTGACAGGTAAGCGAAAATTGGGTCTGATCATTTTCGCGGGTGATGGAACATGTCAATAGAACTTCTACGATTACGAATTCACACCTGTCCCTGGCTGAGGCTAGGGAGATAGTCAAGTTGGTCATACAAGACTATCTATAAACAGGAAACGTTAGCTAAAGTCCGAGATTCTTGGATATCATCGCGTCACAGTCTTTACCCCGCATCAACTCCACCATCGCTCTACGCCACATCAAGATAGGGATGATGCCTCGGATCAACTCCGTCAGAGGTCCCCCGCTTTCAAGCCTTGGTGGATTTCGGAAATCAATGTATATGTATGAAATCTCCTGAATTTTGACTTTTCAAACTCCCTTCACACCATACCTAGAACGTAAATAAGTACTGTGATAATAGCAAGAATGGCCGCCGCGACTCCAGCAAAGACTCCAGCAAAGACTTTTGACATTTCAAAGAAATACAAGGCTATCGTTTACGACAAGCCTGGAAGTATTTCTACAAAGATCGAGGAGCTTGAAACCCCTGAGCCGGGTCCAGGAGATGTTCTCGTTCGATTGTAAGTTCCGCACCATTGACGAAACTTCCTGCGGCTGACCTTTTGGGACGTATAGGACACACTCAGGGGTTTGCCATTCGGACATGGGCGTCATGGAGAATAGCTGGCGGGGTTTACCATACCCGACTCAGGCTGGGCAAGTCGGCGGTCACGAAGGGGTAGGGTTTGTTCACAAGCTTGGTCCAGGATCAGAGAATGGCCGAGTAAAAGTTGGAGATCGCGTTGGCATCAAGGTAAAAGACATCAACATGGAGAGTTTGTGATCAATTGAAAGCCTAAGCTGAAATGAAATAGTGGATTGCTTATGCCTGCGGAGCATGCCCACCTTGCCTCGAGGGACAGGACGGCGTCTGCTTTGTAAGTGCCCCTACAATCTCGGTGTCGCCATTCTAACATGATCTGCTATGGCTAGAACCAAAAGATCTCCGGTTATTATTGTAAGTGAAGCCTGATCGCTGAAGTCCGAAACTGTGGAGCAATTGATGAAGTATTTTCTAGACCCCGGTACATTCCAGCAATATTGCCTTGCACCAGCTTCCTACGTCACTCCGATTCCTGATGCCTTGTCTTCCGAAGATGCAGCGCCGATGTTGTGTGCTGGTGTGACAACGTGAGTCTATCGCTGAGGCTGTGAGGAAGGAGGTCGCAGAAACGGCCGCATAGAAAAGCGAAGCTCACAACCTTGTTCTATTTTAGGTATTCAGCCTTGAGAAAGTCTGATGCAAAATCTGGGCAATGGGTTGTGATTTGTAAGTAAAGACTCCTTTCTGTATCGAGGATATGATTGACTGACTTGTGGAAATTTTAGCTGGCGCCGGTGGTGGATTGTTAGTCCCCCATCACCCATTGATGCGACCTCTCGCTGACGGGCTTGACCAGAGGCCATTTAGCATGCCAAATTGGATCTCGAGGAATGGCTTTGAGAATCGTTGGTATTGATCATGGAAGCAAGGAAAATCTGGTGAAGGAATGCGGCGCTGAAGTTTTCATTGATATTACCAAATACGACGACAAGACAATTGCAGAGGAGGTCAAGAAGGCCACAGGAGGTTGGTTCTGACTTCCATACTGAGTGACAAAGTGCTGAAGCCTGTTCAGGACTTGGTGCATCAGCAGTTATTGTCTGCACAGCTTCGAACAAAGCGTATGCTCAGGCTCTTGACATGCTCAGATTCGGCGGAACTCTGGTTTGCGTAGGCATGCCAGAGGGCGACTCTGTTCCCATTGCAAAAGCCTTTCCGGCTGCAATGGTCGCAATGTCCCATAGTATCAAAGGAAGCGCTGTGGGAAATCAGCGTGAGGCTCTCGAAGTATTGGACATGGCTGCCCGTGGCATAGTCAAAACTCGATTGAGAATTGAGCCAATGGAAAAGCTGACCGAAGTCTTCCAAGAGATGTCCGAGGGCAAGATGCAAGGGAGAGTTGTTCTCGACCTTCAATAGGCTACAATAGGAAACAGGAGTTATTGATTATAGGCGAATAAGACTTGTATATGACGAAATTGCTCTCCCGTGCTTGAAAATTGTGGGTCGGCAAGTGGATGAAGGTTACAGCATAGGGCTGAAGTGGCGAACTCAGAACTCCCGAAAGTCGAGGGCTGTATTATTTCCCGGCCCCTCGTTACGATCTCCTCTGGATAGTAAACCTGTGGTCCAATGGCTGCCGAGCTTTGAAAAGCTGAAGATGCTTGGTATACATGAGAGCCAGTGGACTCGGTGCGCGGCGCGCGGTTTTGGCCGAAACGCTCTTGCCTGCTGGACTGTGATTACTGGGTATGAAATTTGCCTAGGTAGATATCTCCTGTATGCAGCTATACGCCTGGGAACCTAATGCAACGGTGCGAAAAATGTGCATTCATGTCTGGCATCTCTGTGGACGCTCCACCACGCCGCACCTGCGGTTGGCCATGCTCCAGGCCATCACTTGCGGGAGGAGGGAGGAGGGAGGATGCGGTTCACCTCCACGGCGTTCTGCTGTAATCGAGACACGCCGATGTTGGAAACAGCTCGCTCGATACTGGTCTGTCTGCACCATGCGTGTGACGGAAGCCAGGAAACAGAAGGAGGTGGAGTGGAGGTGGAGGTGGAGGTGGAGGTGGAGGTGGAGGTGAGGTGCCTGCTCCGAACCAACCCAACAATAAGGTAGCCATCGTTACACGGCCAATCCGACGTTCTGGCGTGGGAAGCCCATATATGGAGCCGCTATTGCAAAGTATTGTAAGTTCAGCGTCTGCCATAGACGGGCTTGACGCGCATACAGTAAGAGCGAAGCTGCGTCGAAGAGACCGACCTCGGGGCGGGGATGGATGCTGCTCATCAACGTCAAAAGAAAAGAATGGAGAGACAAGGAGGGCAGGGCAGGGCAGGGCAGGGCAGAGGTGGACTCGGTGGAGAACCAAGTGCTCAGCTGTCAGCCTTGACCCTCGCTAGAGTAGTACTAGAGACCAATTGCAGGCCGGCTCCTCCTCCTCCAGGGCAAGGCTCTCTCTGTTCTCTCGGTTGCCGTTCTGGCCGCAGACCTCAACACCAACACCTCCCTGACTCCGTTCCATTCTTCTCCTCACGAAGTGCGGCGAGGTGCGTTGCTGCCTCGCGCAACCCCTCCAACCCCTCAATTGCTCTACCAAAACCCTCCAACTACACTATATGACACAAATGTTCATCTTCCTTTGCTCTTCCAGCCGGCCTTCTGGGAGACCAGCGGCCTGGTCGCAGACCGTTTTGCAACGGTGCATGGCTCAGCACAGCGCCTAGAGAAGCTTTCAGAATTGACGGTGACATTGTTTCTACAGGCAGGAAATTCGTAACTATCTCTACAGTCGTTTCTTCTATATAAACAGTTATGTGCCGCTATGGCGTTCCCAATCCAGCAGATTCATTCCATTGTCCTGCGTTTTCCTCATGTCTCCACCCATATCGAGCTTCAGCAAGCTCTCCATCACGCCAGCAATGCAATCATCTCGGGGACATGCAGGTGGCCATTCCGGTGAGAAAGGCAAAGGGAATGCCGTGCCCATCGATGAAGAGCCTTCTAGCTCGGAACACAGTTCTGACGAAGAATCCGATGGATCGGATCCGGACGATGACAATCTAGAGGAGGAGATAGATACCACGTGCCGAGTCTTCGCACTCGACCATTGCCGACAACACGGGACGCGCTATGCATTCCAGATTGCGTATGCAGAGGTAGAAAGATACAGCATCCGAATCAGCACTACCGACTCGGGAAAACCTACATGTTCTTGCAAAGAACCAGGTACTTGCCTCCACATAACTTGGTTCCTGGAACAGCTTTCGCGTACTCGTCCACTTGCGGCCGGAGACGAGGTGCAAGGTGTTACCCCCTACGAACATATCTCACATCTCGGCTTGGACAATGTTTGTGAAGAGCTTCATTGGGAGCTTAGACAGGGGACCGACTCTGATGCTGAGGAAACCCAATGGCAGCTCATGAAAGCATACTCCACTGTGCAAGTCGGCCGACAAACGAGAGGTGTGATCAAAGAGAGATTGAAGACCGTTCGTGATATACTGGCGACTTTCTCTGAGATAGATACGGATAGCTATCGGCAGGATTTATTCAAGTCGGGAGACGAAATCACCTTGGAGCCAGTCCTGGTCAGGAGAGATCTGGAGGCAACTGTGGCTAAGATCCTCGTCATGGACGACAGCATCTTCAACCATTTTCAAACTCTTGTGTCTCATAACACTCGTGCTACAGAATACTTCATCAAGATGGGCGCAAAGGCGCAGACGACACTTGAGCTTCTGGACCGATATTGCGAGATTGGTCCCAGCTCCGGTCAACATGATCTGATAAGCTCCGCCCAGACCCTGGTCAACATTGTCCATGCCATCGATACCAACGCTAGCGAGCGGCAGCCACTCAGTCCAGCATCTCGGGTCGAGGCAGCCAAAGCATTGGTTTCTATTCTTAGCATGGTCGTCAGAGAAAGGAACCACGATGCATACCAGAACAGTACCTGGCCAAGGCGACGTCCACACGGGGAGCTGTCAATCGACCGAAATCTTTATGAACGTCTCATCGGGACTACATCCCGGACAAGCCCTGCTGGCGGGAACTTTGTCATCGACGCCTTGCAACCCTTGCCTGAAGCTCGTCATTTCGTCGAAGAGTTAGAAGAGATCCTTGCCATTTTAGGTACAATCGGCTGGGGTCCTGCGCCTCAAGCTTACCGTGAAAAATTGGGGGCGCTAATTTCGCAGTTGAAGGGTTCTGGCCTAAGCATGTCTTCAGGAAAGAGACCCGCGGGCTCCTTAGACCGAAAGGTGAAGCGTATGAAATAAGTTTCTACGGCTGCGGAGGATCTAATCGCTTATCGTGGGATGTTTACAGTCAGCTCTGCAGGATTTCTGGCTTTTGCTTTCAACTGTCCTTCCATGACACCATTTTGTTCCTTCTTATACACAACACTCATTTATTTCCACTGTTTTCAGTAGATCACACACACTGAGTCTCTTCGACAGATGTCTCAACACACCACTGCTAGATACTTCTCTTTCGTTGTTTTTATTTAGAGTCACAAATATTGGTCCAGGTTCACAAACATTGTTACATTCTCACCAATCTCTTATTTAACCTTACAATAATGTTGATTGCCTCCTTCGAACGTGTCAGGCCGTTCTAACTCCATATTGAACTTCCGCTTCCCAAGAAAGTGTCCATTCAAACCATTTCGAGACCAGATCTCCTTTCCTTCTGAATGGCTTCGCTGTCAATGATCACGACCGGCTTTCCCTGCATTTTCCCCGAATGTGCGAGCTCAACAGCCTTCGGAATCTCCTTGAGACCATAGAAAGGGTTTGTCTTGACCCTGATCTTATTTTCCGAGGCAACTTTGAGCATTTTCTGGCATTCTCCTCTAGAGCCTGGTGATCGTCAAGACAGAGACAGTCACTCTATAAGCAATAACATACTGATAAGGCTTCCGCGGATACGGATATCGCGAAAAACCAGCTCTGCGAAAGGAACCGACACGTTCGTTGGTTGAGCAATCTGCACGAGCACACCTAGAATCAGTTACATATGGCGGACAAACTATTCTTTGGTATCGACTTACCATGCATTTTAGTCACTGCTGCGCTTGTAGCAGCTGCAGACTCGTAGTCGGATACGTTGAGAGTTGCATCGGCCAACTTCCCATCGTTTACTTTCTTCACCTCTTGAACAGTGTTTTCTTTGCCAGGACGAGCATCGATAACGGTGTCCGCGCCGCACTCTCTTGCCAAAGAAAGTGCCTCGTCTCGAGCATCGATTGCTACGACTTTCAACCCTAGAGCTTTCGCAAATTGGATTCCTGGTCGCTCAATCAGTACGGCTCTCCAAATATAATTTGGCCGGTACTTCGAAACACTACAGATATAGTCTAAGATTCAAGGATCGGAAAAGGACTAAGAGGTCAGTGTATATTACCGAGATGACCGAGTCCGCCTCCTCCACCAACAAGTGCAATAGTCTCCCCAGATTTCAATCCAGCTCTTATCAGACCTCCCCAAACAGTTATTCCAGCACACTTCAAGATAGCCAGTGCTGTTAAATACAGTTTTAGGTCTAGCATCTCAAATCCTCTGGAACATGTTTCGGAGAGGAGAATCTAGATTATCAAAACCTCAACGCGCAAGAATTACGTACCGCTAGAGGAGCAGCGGATTGGAAGCTCAAGTTGTCAGGCAATATGCAACATTCTCTCCCATCAACTACTTCGTATTCCGCAAACGACCCATCGATAGTCACGCCCAAAAATCCTCCGGCATTAGCACAGTACTGATGGTCCTGCTCAGGGCCCTTGCAATCCGCACATTCACCGCAGCGGTGATACGTCAAGCTGCACAGAACTCTATCTCCCTCTTTGAAATCTTTGATCGCGCTGCCAACTTTGACGACGGTACCAGCTCCCTCATGAGAAGCCACACAAGGAAGTTTCGTACCCATGATCCCCTCACTGACCATGCCATCGGTATGACAAAGAGATGCAACGGCTACTTTGACCAGCATGTCATTTTCATCAAGATGTTTTCCTGGAGTTGGGATCTCATGTATCTTGTAGGGCTTTCTAAACTGTTGATGTGAGTTAGTATCTTACATGCTTTGTTGATTCAAGAGGTGGATGTATCAAATGAAGCGGCATACCTCAACTACTTGCGCAGCAAGCATCTTCTCAGGAATCTGGGGCGACATTTTAGGGTCAAAATACACAACCAGAAGAATTTAGTGATCGAAAGGTCGATGATCAATCAAATATTTTAGAATCAAGAGGAATCGCGTTTCGTGATTCAAAGAATACTTCAATATGGCGGGGTAGTAACCTCTAGTACTGAACCTTGACGTCAGCTTCTAGCACTTATTTGAAGCCTGGGATATGGAAATCTTCAACCCGTGCGGAGACGTGGCGAGGTAGATACTCTTCTTTCAAATGCCACACTTTCATTCGGGTTCACATGGGATTATTTCTTAAGCCGCCCTTAAAGATCTAGTTGATGATGTATAGGTGATTTAGAAGTCACAATTCTCCATTGCCTGTTTTGGTCCCCACCCCTGTCAAGTTCGGTTACATATTTCTTGGCATACTAAATCGCGACAACCTCACTAATCGCCGTGGTCTCTCAACTCATCACAATCAACACAACTGTGTCACGAGTCGAGACCCAACTTCTACAGAATACCGAGACCAGTCCACAAAGCATCACGCATGTTTTGATGAGTAGATCTGCCATCTGTGTACCAGGAGCTGGATGTTGTAACGCGAGGAGGTGACGTTGCAAACAAGACGAGCTTGCTATTATCCAACACGATGCGGGACTCGGCGGAGGACAACACATTACTCTCGAAGGATCGCATGGAGCCTGCTCAAGAAAAAGATGTGCCATCAAAGCTTTTCACGGGCTCCAGGAGTGCTCGGATATGGAGCAAAGCAGTGTTGATATCAGTCACGGGACTGATCCTCTACTGCACATTCGGCATGCTATTCGATAATCTTCTTTTGATTATCACTGCTGGCACCAGCAACTCAGCAGCACTGCCTGGAACCCACGGTGACGGGAAGGATGATCTGGAGGCACTGAAAAAGACCCCAACGAGAGTCCCGCAGTACTTCCAAACAAGTCCTGAACTCTGGGCTGGTCCTACTGCCACGGGAAGAGCACCATTTTTGGCGCAGACGAATGTTGTCTCATTCGATCCAACTGCCACATTTGTCCCTAATACGCCTCTTGAGACAGCAATACCGATTGTTGGACAAAACCAGAATCAAAGCATCTTTCAACTGATGGGACAGCTGTCTCCTTATTTTCCTAATCCATCTGGATTTGGGGTAGCCGAATACCCGCTACCCTCTGGGGCCAACATTACTCAGGTTCATGTGAGTCACGAAATTCCAGTGTCAAATGATGGCATTGACATGGCTGTAGATGCTCTCTCGCCATGGCTCCCGGTATCCTACATCGGGCGCCAATGTTCATGCCTTTGGGCTAAAAATTGCAAACCTCACAGGCAAATTTGAAGCATCAGGAGAGCTTTCGTTCCTAAATTCTTGGGTTTACGAATTGGGTAGGGAGATTTTGGTCCCAAGAGGACGACAAGAATTGTTTGAAAGTGGTATTTTGCACTAGTATGTTACTCAGGCAGTGGCCAATTTCTCTGGCCCTGAAGTACTTCTGAGGGCAGAATTCAGGGCAATAGCTGATTTCTCAATGCTCCAGCTATCAATATGGACAACTGTATAATCCAAATAGCAAGATCATCGTCCGAACAACAACACAAGATCGGATGTTAAAAGTAAGTGTCTACCATCTTTTGCTAGAACCGCATTGTTGACAGCTGTCAGAGCGCGGAGTACTTTGTGGCTGGATTCTTCGGTTTGGAATGGACTAATAATGCGACCATCGAAGTGATTATCGAAGAACAGGGCTTTAATAACTCCCTCGCTGGATACGACAATTGCAGAAACGCGAACACTTTCCGAAACCAAGGCGGTATGAATGCGACAGCAGAATGGGTAAATATTTACCTCCAAAACGCAACGGAACGACTACGACCATTGGCCAAAGGCTTTGAGTGGACAATCGAAGATACTTATGCGGCACAGAATATGTGCCCCTATGAGACAGTCAGTCATTCCTCATTGAAACTGTGGCTTTACTGATCGAAAAAAGGTTGCGTACGGATATAGTGTATTCTGTGATTTATTTACCTACGATGAATGGGTTGGATTTGAATATTCGCTAGATCTATATTTTGCTGGAAGCTCTTCGTTCCAGGTAGTTTATTTCACCCGTTTGGTGTCACCTACTGACCATCCTCAGTCACCAACGGGTCGTGCAGTCGGTCTCGGTTATGTGCAAGAGACTGTTGCTCGCTTTAAGAATCACACGCTGGGCTACTCGGGGTCCCAAATCAACACAACGCTAGACTCGAACGAGGAGACTTTCCCTCTGAACCAAAGCCTTTACTTTGACTTCTCACACGACACCAATATCATGAGTATCCTAACTGCCTTTGGATTTACGCAATTTAACACTTTCCTTCCCCCGTCACATTATCCTGGTCCTCACAACCTGACCGTATCTCACCTTGAGCCATTCGGCGCCCGGCTTGATATCGAAATCATCCAAACACCGGCACCGTTGAATGCGCAGAGAAAATACGAAAGTGGAGAACAGACAACTTATATCCACTTCATACTCAATCAGCGCACGCTGCCTCTTGGCTTGAATTTTGCGGAATGCGGTACAGACCGCTTGGATGGATGGTGTGAACTTCAGACGTTCTTGAAGACGCAGGAGAAAGCCGAGGAGTTAGCGAAGTATGATCTAGCTTGCAATGGAGATTACGACGCTGTGACGTATGGGGAGATTGTTGACGGTGCTCCAAAATCATAAAGATATTTAGAGCAGGGAAGATTGTTGAATGTAAGGTAGATTGGTGCTAGGAATAATACCCTAGACCCTTGTTTTATGTAGTAAATTTCAACGCAACATGGGACACTTTCTCGCTTGTGCCTGCTTTCGTTCTCGTATCTCGGAAGATTACCACGACGGAGAGTGGATGTGATTCAGACAAGTTGATCGACGTGTTCGCCGACCGTCTTCATACCGGTTTTCAACACTCTCATTGAGGAAGAGCTTGCGAATGCTGCCTTGGCAACACACGAAACTGGACGTCAAAGTTCAAGACAACGACGCCTGGCGAACTGTGGAGACCAAACTATTTGTTTCTCACGAGTCAAGCCGTTCGTCCACATCCCAGGAATTTGATGGGCGGGAGCACGTTCCCCTCGCTGCGAGTGCATGCACAGCCCATCCCAGTGATTCCCATTGCCCACAGTGGGCCACCTGCGATACGATTTGCGATCGGATCTGCCAGAAATGTCACCCGTTGGCTCTGTGACGAAGAGGAGAAAGGCTGGGTTCGTGAGATCATGGGTTCTGGCTCTTCAGGGGGACTGACTTCGTGAATGAGGCTAGGATGCTAATCCTAACACTAACACTTCGTCCAAGCAAACCTCGCTTGTTTGACATGCCCTGCATCCCTTGCAAATCGGCTATGCAATGGTTCTTCTTAGCAGTTCGTCGTTTTCTGTCAGATCTCTGCTAGCGAGCTAGACAAGGAGCTTTGGGCTGCAACACTGGGCTAAAATGGCCTACTTGGTAAATTGGCCAGTAGGGAGCAATAGCGCGGAGACGTAAGCTGCTGTCGTTCATCCCTCAGCACGATAACCGAGATATCTAGGATCAGGGTCCAGCGTCCGGGAATTCGGATTGTGCGGCAGTCCCTTGTCCCTGCCTTAATATGTCGCTTTTATATGGGGTTCAGACTGATGGGCTAGGCTGGAGATTGCTTTATGTCCGAGATCTAAACAGCTACCTGGTCATCCAGAGATCCTCTGTCTCTCCAGCTCGAGTGGGAGGGACGCTGAATGGGAAATTGCATGTGTACGGAGGTAGTTCCGTCTTTCGAACAGTGATTCATACTTTTGGTCGAATGCAGACACCGCTGAAGATGGGAACAAGAAGTTGGCCAGGACATGGGCTCCGAGTGAACCAAATACAGAGTTAGCACATGTCACCTTAGACAAACCCACATAGTTTCGGCATCTATACATCGGCAAAGGTTTGACAGGCTGGTAGTTCAAGATTGAAGGGCTGCCAAACATCTACAGCCGGCAGACAGCGATTGTGGTAAAGTTAGATTTTAATGGTCTTTCCGAAGGCTAGCGATGGTAATTTACTAGGCCAACCCCATCTGAGAAGTGATGTTCGTAGTTCGCAGAAATCATCGAGCACAGCTGAGAAACAAAGCTCGCCAAGGTATGGAGCACCCAGAAACTTACCTTAAGTACGGCGCAATGCCGCTTGTCTCGAGACTCCATAACGCGATCGATATCGTACTCCCATTTTGACATCATTGATCGGTGGCAGACCTTGCTGATGAGGATTAGCGAGCTCCGAGACGAATTGTTTGAGATCAAGTCCAGGGTTCACAATGTGCTGTGGGACGTTGCAGTCCATTCCTGTCGATATCAAAATGAGATCGTGGGGATCCGGGTTACGCATGTTACAACAACACTGCATAGTGGTCGAGCCATGTCCCCGGTCTGCGTGTTCTCCAATCTTGCCATACCCTTGTCTGTCTTCTCCGCCTTGGTTAGTCGGTCATGCTTGTCTTAAGTTTCGAGGCGAAGTTTCGACACGCGGATGGATATGCAGGAGTGTGAGATCTAGCCCAGTAGTGTTGTAGTGTGATCTGAACCCTTGATAGTACTGTAGGAACATCTGTGCGTGCATGTTCACTGAGCCCACTGGCTGTCAGCACTGCAGTGCACTGTACTCGGAATGCCAAACACCAACATCACAATGAATTTGTTCTCTAACAGAAAAATAACACCGCAAGCTCTGCCTTGTACGGCTCGTAAGTCGTGGGCATAGACTGTACGCGTCTCATACGAATGTCGGCTGCTTAGCTCAAGCCAACATGCACTGTTGTTTATGTGCAAGCAATTCCGTGGTTCAACCGGAACCTATTCTAGTGGAGGTCTCAGGGAATAGTTGGCAAGGGAGGGGATTGATGTTGATCTCCATTACATTAGCTTCCCTCGAACCAGCCCAGCTTCCCAAACGTCTTGTTTATCTCCGCTGACTGGGGCTGACCTGGACAAGGAGGCAGCATTATCTTCAATGCCCCAAGGTATTCAGATGTAAACTACTACTCTTTCTAGAACATCTAAATAGACTTGCTTAGTTACACATATGGATTGTTTTTGGAACAAAGATGTGTATTCCGGATTGAGCATTCCTCCGCACCGAATACGGTAATGCAGACGTGAGGTATGTCACTGAGCTGCTTCAATACTCTTAAAAATGGAAGTTTAATGCCTCACAAGCCAATCGAAATGTTTCCTTGAGCTAGATAGCTCGATTGCCAGTGCTCTTGTACGCTTGTCAAGGTGACAGCGGCCTAGGTGTCAACTACTGCACGAAGCGTCTTTGGTTCGGCGACCACTTATGACTAAAGTAGGAGAGATGAGGGAACATCAAAGTCTCGGTAACCAGTCTAGGTCTAGAGACCAGCCGCAGCTTATCCGATCTGTTTTGATACATGTGAAGTAGTTTCGCTGCTCACCAGTCAAACAGGATTTCGTCTGTGCTAGGCGAGCTGGGCTCACTTCGGTTTTCGTTGATGTGACCTCCTCCACATGATTGTGTTTTTGATCCAGAGATTTTGATGATGATGTGTGATGCTGTGTTGATTCGATTTCTTGCAGTTCTTTCCCAGAACCCACAAGGAGGCGAATAGGCTGAACGCACCACATAAAGTTCGGGGTGAATATGACCTTCTCCTCGTTCATCCAGTCCACATTCAATCAAAGTCTCAATCCATACCTATGATGTTCTTGAGCATTTGTAAGCTCAAGATGAAACAGACAAGCGGATCCTTTCCGGTCCAGTCTGGCTTTTTGGGTCCAGACAGCTGGGAAGTTACGATAAACTTAGATATATCTGAAAAGCTTGATGAAGACCTAAGTACTGGTGAGCCAAGAGGGGTACTTTTGTTGTCCTCCACTTGTGAAAAATTTAAAGTTCTGGTGGGAGCTGAGCATGGAACGAACAGCGTCGGTCCCAAACAATGCCCAAAGACAATATGGGGCGCCGGTGTTACTATTTCTCGTTGGTCTGTTGGTTCGGAAGGGTTCTCGACAGGGACTTAATCTGTATTAATGGCAATTGTGGGATAAGTGTTGTGTTTGTTTTCATTGAAGGGGATAACGGGAGCGCTACGAAGGAGTAGGGCCTGACCCAGAGAGTAAGAAATGGATCCAGTCATATGACGGATGCTCTTTAACCCATACGAATTCAGCGATGATCGATATACACTATCTTCAGGTTGCATATTCGGGCTAGAAAGCCATGTGCAAAACTGCTGGAGGCTTCTTAATCAAGCGGACTTGCATCGTCAATTGTTTGGCAGGATCTTCTTTCTCTTCATCAAGCGCGTTGGCGGCCAGCACGCACGGAATGCCGAGGCAGTGATCTTCTGGATGTCATGCTTGTGGAAGAAACTCCTGTTCTTCTTGCCATAAACATCTAGATTCAGGTGTTGGGTCAGCGACTACTTGAGCGAGTTTAGAGAGGGATCGGGGAATATGACATACACATCGGAACACTTAGCAGGCAGATGAATACCTGGATCCCTGAGATCCACATGAAGACTTCAAGGGTCCCTGATTTGACAAGCCAGTCATACGCGCTCCATGTCAAGCCGGCCGTGAAGAAGTTCTATTCGAGTTAGTCGACTAGGTTGATTTTTGAGGAGGATCTTACCTTAAATATGAGAACACATGTGAAGGCTTCAACGGCGATGTCCCCTACATCTATTAGCATTTTCAAAGATGACTGGTAATGATTGACTTACTATGGGCATCAACAATGTAGAGTGAAGCAGCCACGGCGCCAATCACCATCCCACCAACCTCTAAACCGAAACCAAGGATTGGAAGGTAATATGAATAGTCAACGAGTCTGTTCGCCGTGATGCCAAATAGGAAGAGTCCCGCACAGCCGAAGATCAATTGCGGGATCACAAGAACGATTCGAAATTCAGGTTCATAAATCCCGCCATTCTTCCGTGTCATGTACTTTGCGCTCCAGTCGGCCAGTGCTCCTGCTATGAGGAAGCCTATCACTGCTCCGAGGAATGCACCTGTGTAAGCATATCCGGTGTTGACTTCACCCCAGAGAAGAGGAGGCCCGATGAAGATTGCCTAGTGAGTAGGAAAAGTACGTTAGCACCTTGGCTTGGAGTGTTTGCAGGAGTAGGTCGAGCTTGTAGGTCATGCTTACGGCGAGTATTATGCCAATGAATACGGTCCATCCAATCATAGAGCCTTGAATCAAACACGCCCAAAGAATAGCGGGATGTGCGAATAGTGGGAACGGTCTGAGAAACAACTCCCAGAAATTCTCATCAGAGACTCTACCATTAAAAGGAAGAAGCGATTGAGTGAAGCTTTGCTTAGGAATGCTCGGATTAGGTCCCATAGTGTCATTGTGGGCAGTTTCTGCATCTCTGGTACTTTGCTCCGCAATGGGAACTTGTCGATACAAATTCTGCATCTGGTGGTCAGGATCCTCTGATTTTGGGTATGACTGACTATGAGTTGCATCCGAAGCCAACAAATCGGTATTGAGATGCGATGCACGGCGGTATGCAGTCTCGGGTACGAAGAAGATGACCAGAGGTAGGCAGGCACCGGCAAAGATAGCCACGAAGTAGAATGTCCAGGGCCATCCAATTGAGTGTGTGATCTTACCAACCACAATTGGAGTAAAAAAGGCACCTCCGAAAACAGCGAGATTTGTGAGGGCCATTCGCTTGCCACGTTCCTATTTATTATCAGTAACAGTCAGAGACGCCGTGTAGTTTCTTCTTACATGAACAAAATAAAGATCTCCTACAGCAGCATTTACCAATGCCTCAAATGGTCTAACAATACTGTAAGCAGTGATCAGCAGCACAATAGAAGACCGACGTACGCTGTACCAATTCCCTGAAATATCCTAGACCACAAAAGCGAAGCATAGCTTGTGGATGCTCCTCCCCAAGCACTTGAAAAGATCGTAATCACAGTACCAAGCAGAAACAAATGTCTCTTTCCCCATATCCTCGCCGATGGAACGCACAATATACCTGCAACACCGACGCCGATAAGAAAGTACCCCGTGAGAATGGCAACATCGGTAAACCTTCGAGAAAATAGTATTGATATTGTAATGGTATTTGCTGCCAGGATTGGCCCGAGGGATGTCGCGAAGATGGACACGATGCAGAGGATCAGCATGATCACGTCGCGCTTCCATAGTGGCCAGTTCTATAGTTTTCATTATGTCAGCCATTGTGTAACTCGTGCGGAAAGATACGGCTGCCACTTGTTTACCAGAGGATCATTGGGGTCATCGCTTGGTTGAGGAATGAGGATGATCGGAACACTCCCACTCGTGTCGCATTTCAAGCCGGCAGAATCAGCAGTCGCAGCTTGTGGTCGCTCCGGGTCGTCAAAATATCTCGTGGTCCCTTAGAAAAGTTATTGAGGGTATTCACACAATTCCGTGAGCCACGTACCAGGGACATGTTCCATGGACTTGGACTCAAGTATCCACATCCCCATGGTGATGGATTAGCTTCTTGCGGGGTACCCCACAAACTGCGGATAGTAGGTAGTTGACGTCTAGAAGATCCGGCCAAAGAATAATAGAGACTGTCAGGTCCTAGAATTCGCGGGTGAGCGACAGTTTTAAAGGCATCACTGCCGGCTCCCTGCTGGTGATGTTGAACTTTGAGTTTCGGCCTCGACTGATACCAAAAGAGGCTGAAAGTGAGCTTGCGAAGTTAGTCGCTCCTCGGCCGATTGGCGGTTTGTTACAAGCCCGGGCCCGACCATCCGTCCAGCACATCAGCCCGCCACACGCAGTTCTGATAGGCTAGAAGACTAATTATTAATCCAACAATGGTAAGGTATTTAGTCTGGCCGCGTCTGTTTCATTTCTGCTTATTACCGTGCCTCTGCACCATTCTTCATTCTCTTACCAGCAGGTCGAAAGTACGAAAGTACAGTACTGAGCAAGTATCACGACATTTGGGAGCACAGATGCCCGACGTCCGATGTGCTCATGGCACAGGATACCACCCTGGAAATGCTCGACGAGGACAAAGTTTGACATGAACTGTGTTCGGAAACCCGAGACACACGGAAGGTTCCACCTCAAGTAGTGACTACCACGTTGAAGCATGTTACAGTAGAGAAGACTGCCAGTAGTTTCATGGAAGCACTGTACCCATGTGATAGAACAGCTGTTCCGTTGTCACAGCCCAGCAGAATATGCTGTATCAAGGCTCCAGACAGTGAACAGTGAGCTTCTCTGGCAGGATTGATAGATACTGTGGTGCGTTTGGCAGTGCATTTTCCTGTCCTCGGCAGTTAATTTACTTTCGGTACTGCGAAGAGCGATGCGAGGTCTTGCCTAGGGGGTCCTCGATGTCCAGCTAAATTACATCAATAAAGCATGTTCGCGGAAGTCTCACAGTCGGACATAATAAGACTCCGAAAGCCCTCGAAAGTGACAGTAAATTTACAGTATGAGTGGGCTGATCAGTTAAGGTATTAATTAATAATGCCCCTCACATGGAAGTCTTTAAAATCAACATTGGAAGGAAGGACGGAACAAACCTCTTTGTCCTTGTCGTTGTCTTTAATATTGTCAAGACCAAAGAGTAGTGAGAGAGAAGAAATTGAAGAAGTTGGAGCGAGTTACCGTTACCCTAACCCATTTAATTTTACAGACTTTAAAGCTTCGGGCTAGCCCGGTCTGGAGCAGCCAGGCAGCCCAGGGGGCTTGTTTTTTGCTGCCAATGAAGCTCTCCCACCACCAAGAAGACAACCTTGAAGCCTTGAAGTGACTTCCCATTGGTGTCCTGCTGTCCTGTCCTGTCCTGTCCTGGACTGGACTTCTCCCAGCCCGGCTGGCTAAACGAATCAATCAATAAGTACCTTATTCAAGGTAACGATCTTCTCTTCACTTCCCTCTCCCCCTCCCTCCCTCACTTCCTCCTTCTTTCTTTTCATCATTAACGCCATACTTTCCCCTACGGTCCAGCTTCGTCGATTGAGGGCAGAGCATTGCTTTTGTGCCGCCCACCACCCGCTGACGTCGCATTACAGTACTGTACACTGTTAACGCTCTACTCAATCCGCCCACCTTCACGCGCGCGCGTCCCTCCTTAAACATCCTGCGCTGAATCTACAACGCCCAAGCCATGAAGCTCACCCTCACCCTTCTTACCGTTGCCAGTGCGTTGGTCAGCCTCATCAGCGCTCAAGGTGTTACCGGCGGCGTCCCTGCTTGCGCCGTAAGTCGTTGGTGTAACCTGTCGCATTTGTCAACCCGACGTTGTCCCAGTACTGACTCTAGACTCCCAGCAACCCTGTATCAATCAGTTCACTTCCAATGGAGGCAGCACGATCGCCGGTTGCAATCGAATTGATGCAACCTGTATCTGCGCCAACAAGGACTTTCTGGGGGGCATCGCATGCTGTCTGGTAGACAAGTGTAATCTCGACGACCAAAAAGCGGCGACCGAATACGCTCTCGCGTTCTGCAAGGCAAATCAAGTCACCGGCCTCCCCACGGCTGTTTCGTGCGCCTCGACTGCTACTGCATCAACTGGTAACCCTACTGCTACCGGTAGTGCGGCCGCAACGATCACCAGCAGTGGCGCGAACGCCGCCAGTACTACTGCTTCTGGAACCACCTCTGCTCCAGCCAATGCAGCTCCCACAAATGCGGCAAGACTTGGTGCCGGGATCATGGGAGGACTTGTAGCTGTTGTTGCTCTGATGTGATGGAGGATTGTTTGATTTACATGAAAGAGACTAGCAAATGAAGCTGGGGGGATCCATTTCTCATCTGATGGCATGGTGCGGGATAGGCGCTTGTAGGTGGAGGGGTATGGGACATATTTTCCTTTCGATCGTCCCGGTGAGTCCACTTCTCGGTGACAGTTCCGTACATATCAACCCACCTTCGAAGTCTTGTCTTCAGCACGGGCATCAGGAGACCGGCGTCAAATAGCTGCTGATATACCGGAATACACTCTGCAAGGAAATCAAATTCTTTTTGTCCATCAATCAGGTTAGCGAGGCATTCGAATTTGGTAAGTGAGCACATCTTCCAGATCTGCAGCGATTTGCGATCCTCCGAGGGACTTTGACCTTCATATTTCTTTTTCGTCCCTTGAGATGTTGTCTTGGCCCGGGATATTCGACCCCGATTCCGAGTTCCTGTGTTACCCATCAGCATCATGCATGCTCAGCCGCGTGACATCTCATTGTTGGAATTTTCATGCAAGATGCGCGGTGCGCCCGTCCCATATTCCTTTTGGCAGTCCCGGTTTTCCGGGATACTTTCTTCAGCATCCTGTACTCCTACATGCGGGCTTGGATCTGCTGTATGGATCGACGACATTTTGGGATTCACCTCCCAGCGACGCCAAAGAGATCGAAACCCGACAGACAGGTGTCACCATTCTGGTGATAGAATGAAACTCTGCACCAGCAATCAATAAACTGTCAGATGGGGTCTATCAGCAAAAGTGATATTATGTTAGGCACGGGCAAAGCCAAAGTGTGGACCGGGATTACGACCCCCTGAGTTTCTCAACACCCATCGACAGTCTGTGTGAACGCCACTTGTGACGTTCCAAATTGAGGTCTCGGAGAAGGATCTCCCTCACTATTAAATCTGGGTACATTTATTGCCTATTTCCAGAAGTCTACACCGGCTATTGAATTCTGGGTGCGTTGCTGTTTTGGTTTACAGCGTTTGATTTCTGGTAACAGTCAGCCTTGCGACTCCATCCAAACTCTGTTCCAAACACAGTGGGGCCGACAGCCCACCAAAGACTGATTCTCGGACCTGCCAAAACTTAATGAAATATGGGGTGCAGGCGAATCTGGATGGAGCTCTTTCCAAGACAGTCTCACAACGGCCTACAAGATACGACTGGCATTTTGTAAAAGCAAGGCAAGACAAGATATGGGATGAGATGACCTGCTTGGGGTCCACATCACCCGCGCTTGCTCCCGCGAAATCTGAAACTTCGAGGAACGCTTTGGCCCCTGTTCTGAAGGGATTGGCGATCTGGGCTATTCAAAGAACAGATCATGCGATGTTGGCAAACAAATTGAGCAAGATTTGGCGCAGAGTGCAGGAAAAGGGGGGGCATGCTGCATCAGCAAGTGTGAAAGGTTTGACACGACGTCTCGGGGAATTTTCATCAGGATGCACTGACAAGAGCTCCTCCTGACTTTCTGCCTATTGACGCTTCTCGGTACGGTACGCCTCGGAATATGCACGCTCGAGGAGTCAAGGAGCCTCAACATTCGTGGGTGCAGTGGTCTTGGGACAAGCTCTGTTGCTTTCCTCTTTTGATTTATTTTCTTGGTAGTGGTTTGTGCTGCAGCTCAAGAACTGGAAGCTTTGACTGTACTCCTTGGACGAGCAAGCGAGCGAGTTGACTGGAGTGTCAGAATGTGTGATGAGAATTCTCCGAGAATCGCCGTGACCTCTAAATGATTTCAACCTCACACAAGCACAAGCAGCCTGGCAACGCTTGGATGAGAAGACACCGAACCGAAACATTCTATCTGGTCTGACTTCAGTGCATTGGAATGCGAGGCTACAGCACCTCTCACACAAGGACAGGACATCCGCTCCGAGGTATTCGTCCTCGGCTCATGTCTGAGCATTCTAATAGACCGCAACTCAAACGTGGACGAGAGTGTGAGGGGACCAGCTCAATTGTCAAGTCGGTAAGTTTCCCGCGGCTACCTTGTGAGGTACTCGGAAGGCCAGAGTTACCGGATGAGGACCAAGACGAAGGTAGGAGGACGAGCGCAAGTGTGAGTGTGAGTGTGAGTGTGAGTGTGAGTACCGTTCAGTCGTCGCTGTCGGGTGCGGTGAAGTTCCAGGAAAGCTGGAAGCGGTACTGCAGTGGAGTAGGTTTGGTGCAGGCGCAGGCGCAGGTGCAGGTGCAGGTGGTGGTGGTGGAGTGGGCAAGTGGACCTGTAGACCTGTGGACCCTGTCCCTGTCCCTGTCCCTGTCCCTGTCCCTGTCCCTGTCCCTGACAGCAGATGCACAGACCTCGAGTCCTCAAGCCGAACCCTTGCGCGTGCATGGCGTGGCACGGGTATTGATTGCCAATGCCAGGCCAGGGCTCCACCTGCAGGCTCGAGGGCGCTATGACGCTTCTCGCGGGGTATCTTTTTGGGTCCCTGGTCCTTCAGATCTCCCCCTTTTGGCAGTCGATCTATTGCGATGTGTGATGTACGACAGTACGACAGCTGGTCAGGGAACAGGGACAGAGCAGCGGACGTAAACAATGCGGAGCCCCTCGAAGAATGAATCAATTCTTCCAAAAGCAGTGGCATTTCACAACAGAAATGGGCTCCTCCAGATCGAAGATGGGACGATCCTGTTTGAACCTGACCTTGCAATCCATTCATTCATTTCATTCAAGTTGAGATTCGTAATATGTACTGTACTGTATGTATTCTGAACTTTTGCCTGCCTCCGGACTGACAACCTAAAACCTTTCATTCATACGCGACTTCAGTCTGACTTTAACGGTTTGCAGTGCTTGCCCGCTCAGGCACTCGAAAACGTTGCCGTAAGGCAAGGCAAGGCACGGCGCTTGAATTGCTCGGTTCTTGGTGGTGCCACCATTCCACGCAGGACAGGTCGTGTGTCAAGTCCAGCTCAACAAAACTCAGCTCATATATCAATCTCGAGAAATTCGGCACAAGACGTGTCCGAACCTGCATCATCCCGGGATGCTTCGAAGAGCCTTCTTTTTGCCTTCTCCCGCTGTCCTCTGCGAACAGGAGGAGTGTCTCCACTGCCTCCATCCTGTCTCATTCTCGTCCGAGTGTGGGCATGATGTATGTATTGTCTTGTCTCCCGTGAGGCACGATTGTCGAGCACGTCTTGCCCTCCCATAGGATGCATACGCATGCGTACCCAAACGTCTCCCCGTAAGCTGCAACAAACCTCAACAATGCGGGGGTTGCAGAATCTATTCCTATGCGCGCCTATGAGCTGTTCTAAGTGGAGACGCCAGAGGCGTGACCTGGAAAGCGGCTCAAACTCAAGAACATCGGTTTTGAAGCCGTATATAATCTCGCTGGTATATACTTGAATCCAGCAGTGTGGCAGAATCGACAAATGCATTGAAGAGGGAAATACGGTACTCGACCACTGGATGAATACGGGCAGACATTCGGCAGAGTTGCCTTACATGGGCATGGTAAGGTATCTTGGTAAAAGAGGGGCAGCCCGCAAGCTGATCTGTGATCCATTCATCGAGTTTCTGAGTTGACAGATCATTAGGCTGGCTGGCGTGCATCGGACTTGAAGCATCGGCGCACTGGGATATCTGGTGGTTCACAGCCATGGGTTGTTCTTGGGGATAGGGGACAGGAAGCCTGCTATCTCCAGACTGGGAGCGACAAGGGCAAAGCATGGCTGGCCAACGCACGTTTTAACAATTTATTTTATTTGATTGTGTTCTGTATTATTTTAGGTTCTGTCTTTATTGCTGGCCGTGACCATACTGTAGCAATGGCCGGGTTCAGCCAGGGCACAGTAGGGCAGGACCAGGGAGGCAAAACGCGAGCGGCAGGGGTATGCGATACCTTGGGCTAGGGATAGAACACAAGGGCATTGAAGAAAATCGTCAAGCCGAACACAAGAAGTAGTTTTTTTTTTTCTCTAGCCTAGGTAAATTTACCTACGGAGGTAGCACTCCTAATCTCAGTAAGTCAATGTCAACGTCAACCAAGAAGCAAGCCTGCAGCTCCTCTACTGTAGCTACCGTTCCCCAGACCACCCAGTTGCACCCAGACCTGGCCAGCAGCGATCCATCCTTCGTTGTCGGTCGTTCGTTCGTTCGGTCGTTCGTTCGTTCGTTCGTTCGTTCGTTCGTTCGTTCGTTCGTTCGTCCTGCAGAAGCAAATCGGCTGCTCGCTACGGCACACCCATCCCCATCCCCATCCCCATCCCCATCTCAGACTAAATTCCTCCGCTTGGACCATCTCGCTGGACCCGACCTCACCTCACCTCACCTCACCTCGCACCGCACCGCACCTCCAACTTCACCATTCCTCACCTCACTTTTGCGCTCGTCCCTTGTCTTTTACTGTTACCTTACCCTCCCTGGAGACACACCCGCTCACTCCCACCTGCTCATACAGTACCAGCGGTTAGAGGCTAATTGCCACCGCTTTGCACCCCCGCCCACCACCCATTTCGCCCATACCTTGCCCTCTAGTCACCCACCATCTATGTATCCTGCCCTGCCCTGCCCTGCCCGACCCTGCCCTTCGCTGCACTGCACTGCACCTCTGGAACGTGCACCTCTCCTCCCAGCCGGTCCTAATGCATCCACATACGTATCGGGTGCATCGGCTTGTGCATTCGTCGGTAACCATATCACAACCGGCCTGGGATGCCATGCTCTGCCAGAGGGGACGTGAGCCGTGAGATGATTCCCATGCTGTCCACACGAGCTAGGGAAGGGACCCCTCCATGAGATGGGGGCAGCCCAGAGCCAGAGGGCTGTCGTGGCTCTATCGCTCCCGGTAGGGGTAGAACCGTTCTGAATCATCTCTCATTCCGAGCACTCGATGGTGGATCACCCTCGCAGCTTGAACCACCTCGTTCTGACCAGCCTCCAGCCCTGTCCCCCATTGCCCTGGTCCTTGCCCTTGCTTCAACCCACCATATCCTGTCCTCAACCTACCTCCCTGATGCCTGCCCTGAGCTCCAGCCTACCGCACTGCTTTG